GACTCAGACCACCAGACGCCACGGAAACCGCCACGGAAGTCAAGGCGCCCCCCAGGTCCGACGCAGAGGAAGCTGCACGGCGGCCGCCACACAGATCGCCATCGTCCAGAAGGACGTCGAGGGACTACTCAAGAGCTTCACGAAGCTATCAACATTCTCCTCGCAGATCTCCAAGAAGGTCATCCCATAGACGCAGATCACCTAGACGATCTCCACGCCGTTCACCACGCCGATCTCCACGTACATCACCTCGCAGGTCACCACACAAGTCGGCACGCAAGTCTACAGTCAGGTCTCCCCAAGTGTCACCCGACATAGAGATAGCAGCCCACAGTTCACCATCAGAAGAGCATCAACCTCTCATCACCGATGCTGGTACAGAAGATGATGGAGGCATCATCTTCTCAGACGCTGAGATAAGATATTGGATGGTAAACAACCTAGATTTATCTTCACCGTCCAAGAGTGGCAACTCAGCGCAGACATACCTGATGAAGGAAGACGATGCAGACGCCATCACCCTACCTCCGATCGACCCGATTGCTGCGGTGCCACATAATCTAGATACAGCCTTCATTAAAGCTACGAAAGTGCAGACACCACATCTGCCGAACTTTCACGCTAAGAAGTTCTCCACGCACAACATGGACCCCTTCCTGAAGGCACAAGACATCGATGACAACTACAAGCTGATCAGCGATGTTAAGAACAAGAACTACAAGATTGACGATCGCAAGCTGGTGCAGATAGAAAACATGACGAGACGCATGTTTTTTGGCCTAAATAGATCTAGAACGATCAATGAGACACTTATCACCAGATTTCGTAATACGACCTCTGAAGATGATAGGATGATCTACTCGGCCCTACTGATGCAAAAGAAGGACCAGCAGTTCCTTACAGATCATCTCACATCTGTCTCAGCAGCACTGACCTTAGCTCGTCGTCAAGGCCTCCTCGCTTCCTGCAGCTGGGGTGAGAACTTTACAGCTCCACTCTATACAGCCCCGTGGTCATCCCCATACATCTTTGACGGAGGAATAGACAAAGTCTCCAAGGAAGTCACTAAGGACTCCAGAGAAGTCCTTATGATCAAGTCGATGGACACGCTAGCCAGCGTCATCAGGCAGACTTCACAAAGATACTCAGGGAGATCTAAGTTCTCGGACTACAGAAAGCACGGGATAGGAAGATAGCCAGCCAGGGGAAAAGATTCTTTTCGTCGCCCATATGGCAACTATAGAGGAGGGTCAGGAAGAGGCAGGACACCCAGAGGTTCCCGCAACTATAAACGCTGAAAGACAGGTTCGGAACGACTGGAGTCTTCCACCCCCAGCCGTTCCAGTACAACCGTCACAAGTGGGTGGACGCCTCCAACTACACTGGGAGAACTGGGGAATGTTACAAGACCCTTATGTCTCCAACATTCTTCAACACGGATTTCGTAGATCCCACTACAGGCCACGCCCGCTGACAGTCAACCCTTACAAGTTCGACTTACAGGCACAACAACTACCAAAGTTAAGAGAGGCTGTTACATCACTCATAACCAAGCAGGCCATAGAAGTACTAGATCAAGTAAACATCGAACCAGGCTTCTACTCCCCAGTTTTCCTAGTACCCAAGAAAAACTCCAAGGAGAAATACAGACTCATTTACAACATGAGCTTTTTCAACAGGAATTATCTACGCAAACCACCAAAGTTTCGCATGATACACCTTCCTCAGTTACGGCAGTTGATTCGCCCCATGGATTACATGGCCAGTATAGATCTGCAAGACGCATATCTACACATCCCGATACATCCCGAATCCAGGAAATATCTAAGATTTACACTAGACGGGCTACATTACCAATGGAAAGTACTTCCCATTCGAATATCATCAGCCCCTGGCTATTCACGAGGATAACGAAACCTATTGTCACCTATCTACATCGTCTAGGGCTACGCAGTGCGTTCTACCTCGACGACGGGATACAAGTAGATCAAGATCCACAGCGTCTCAAACTACAGTTAAACTACATCATAAAGCTACTAACACAGCTAGGATGGTTAGTAAACTTACTCAAGTCGGACCTAGTACCATCGCAAGATCTGCAGTTCCTAGGCATTCGATTTATCACGAATCTCAACCGTATCGTCGTACCAGAAGACCGTTGGCTCAAGATCCAACAGACCATTCCGCCAGCTCTACTCTCTACGTTACCACTACGACAATGGCAGAGCTTGTTGGGTCTCCTCACATCAGCCCAAGACATGACAGTCACAGGCAGATTACAGTTACGCCCATTACAGGTCTTCATCAATGCACATCTCGACGACCTACAACCATTCAGTCTACCGAAACGTCTCAGACCTCATCTACTATGGTGGACCAGGAGGTCGAATGTCTGCGAAGGTATTTGTTTAGAAGAGCAGGAATTCAAAACCCATCTATATGTAGACGCGTCGCTCCAAGGTTGGGGAGCTCATCTCGCCAACCGGACGGCATCAGGGTTATGGAATCAGCAAGAAAGCAAGCTCCATATAAACATGTTAGAGATGAAAGCTGTAATCAACGCCATACTTCATTGGAGCACCATTCTACAGAATGCGCACTTAATGATTCATACCGACAACTCGACAGTGGCGTTCTATGTGAACAAACAAGGTTCAACGAGATCACTGAACCTATTGACTTTAAGCTTTCAACTGTTCGATCTAATCCACGATCTAAACCTACATGTCAGAGCATGTCACATTCCCGGAGCCAAGAATGTACTAGCAGACGCACTCTCTCGGCCACATCAACCGTCACCGACAGAATGGATGCTCAATACAGAAATATTTGCACAGATAATCAAGCAAATAGGAGCGCCGCTAGTAGATCTATTCGCCACACGCTTCAACAATCAGCTACCGACATTCGTGTCACCAGTCCCAGACCCACAAGCATGGGAAACGGACGCTCTAAGCATATCCTGGGAAGGCCTCAATGCGTACGCGTTTCCGCCGCCAGCAATAATACCTCAAGTGTTACAGAAAATCAGACAAACACAGAGCCTCCAACTCACTTTGGTCGCGCCCTACTGGCCGGCCAGAACGTGGTTTCCCATTCTAATTCAAGAAATCGGTCAACCAACACTAGAGCTACCCAAGCGCTCAAATCTATTAATACATCCACACACCAAACAGGTGCACGGAAGCCCAGAAGTATTCCAACTTCACGTATGGACTGTATTAAAATGTGTTTAAACAAGAGAGGATATTCTACCAGGGCGGCAAAAGCGGTCACGCTTGCCTTACGCAATTCTACACGTAACTTGTACGACGACAAGTGGCACAGTTTTGAGAATTACGCAGCAAATAAGGGATTTACAGCAAGAGATGCTACTCATCCACAAGTGGCAGATTATTTGTGTTACTTACGGCAAAACAAACATTTAAAAGGCTCGACATTGTCAACATATCTTGCCGCGCTTAGTTCTGTGATTACCATGAGAACGGGTGTCAAATTGACAAAAACTCCAGAGTTACTGGCCTTACTACGTGCTTTCCGATTGGAGGACCAAAAGCGGAAGTTCCACGCCCCAGCTTGGGATCTGAATATAGTGTTACAACACCTCACAAGTGAGGCTTATGAACCGTTGGAATCGACAAACTTTGAATTTCTCTCACAGAAAACGCTTTTCCTGTTATCTCTAGCCACAGCAGCCAGGATGTCGGAAATTCACGCACTAGATTATGAGAGGATACAGTTTGATGACAATCAAAACACAGCACACCTGGGACTAAGATGGGATTTCATCGCCAAAAATCAACTACCAGGTCAACCAGACAGGTTATTTCATATCCCTGCATTATCCTCGATTCTCGGATCTCAAGATACACTGGACTTATCTCTATGCCCAGTCAGAGCTCTCAAAATCTATTTACGACGTTCCAAAACAAGGCGAAGATTTCTCAAACGATTATTCATCCCCTTGTCGGCAACAACTCAGACAGAAGTCTCTCGTACCACCATATCTATATGGATAAGAACTGTCATACTTCGCGCCTACAAGGCAGCAGGACTGGACCCTCCAACAGCATCAAATCCCCATGAGATCAGGGCATTGGCTTCCACTCTCGCCCTACACGGTAACTGTTCATTGAATACAATTATGGAAGGATGCTTTTGGAAATCTAACATGGTGTTTGCTAATCACTACCTGAGAGATATCACCACCGAGGACGTCTCAGGCATTCACCATTTCGGTCCCTTGGTCCTCGCACAGCAGTTGACAGTCCCTCGTAAACGTTAACACGTAGTCTTACGAGATTAATATGCATAATTGTTACATGCATTATCTAGCTTATAACTCTACGGAGTTCTAGCACTATGTATATATGTTCAGTTGTATAGCTTCTCTATCAGAGTCGCTTTGATGTTGTTATTTTAATATCTCAGTATATTATTATTGTAAATACCCCAGTATGGCAATATAACCTATGGCTTATAATAGAGGAATTATCCTAAGTCTATGCCTTTATGAAGTTCCCGTAGGGGTTATTACAGTTATATCTATATAAATCACTAATTCTATAAATCCAAAGTATTCTGTTTTGCCCACCTCCGTTTCCGTAGGATTCTACAAGCAAAAGAGCATGAGTCAGGATAAGGAAAAATATGTAATTTTTTTGAGTAAAATTGATATTTTATACTTATCCTGACTCATGAGGTTAGCCCTCCCATCCTCCCCACATAACACTTTGGATTTCCCTGTAAATTCAAGTGTTGGGCTCGCAAAATCAGGAGAGAGTGAAGCATGAGGCCAGAGGGTGGCGACACCTGTTCCCGCCAAAAGGGCAAGGGAGGCAACTCTTGGTGAGTACCAATTAGTGATTTTACATTGAAGGGAGCTTCAATTAAGGAGATACAAGTGTTCCACTATGTTCGCAAGAAGAAGAAGACAAGCAAAAGAGCATGAGTCAGGATAAGTATAAAATATCAATTTTACTCAAAAAATTACATTTTAGTTTACTGACTACCAACAGTGTAAGGACCATGAGTATCCCCACGCCAACGGTGAGAGCACCGGTGCCGGTTCATACCCTTGTCAATGCCAGTGTGAGACCACCACCCATTATGCCCACCCCAGCCACAATTTCCATCCCCACATCAGGTGTAGTCCGAGCTGCACCCCCACTCACTTTGTTAAGAGCCCCACTCCAGACATCTCTCAACAAGCCTGCTCAGGCCACTATGCCTACTATCCCACCCCCCAGGCTCACAGTTGCCCCGGGGGTGCTTGTACCAGTGTCTCAAGGTTCCAATGGAATCCAGCCTAGGACTGATGCTCAGCTCTCAACAAATGCTAACAAGCAGTCAGAAATTCCTCTCAATGCACAATTATTGACTCTACCAGAAGGTGTGACAAAGAGATTAAAACTGTCACAGCCTTTGGCATTGAAAATCAACAATATTCAGATTGTGGTGCCTCCATCATGTGTGATAAACTCAAGTGATGGGTTGAAGGTGCTGCTTCCTCCCAATACGTTCCCTCTTCCAACAGATCCCAATGCCAAACTTAGCGTGACAGTGTCCAATAACACAGCGTCCTTGGAGAGTGCTGACGGCAAGCAGCAAGTTAGCCCCCCAGTGCACCCCCCAGGGGAGGAGCTGCCTGCTGCTGCAGCTAAGAAGGATGCACCAGTCATTTCCTCTCCCTCCACTCGAGCATCTAAGCGGAGACAAGCTATGGATGCAACCTGCTGCTATATTAAAAAACTGTATGCAGGTTATGACTGTATGTTACAGATATTCGAATATTTACGGACTAAAGATCTCCTAAGGTAGGTTATGAATTGTGAAATTTGGGCTGAGGTTTTGCATTTTATTTTCAGTTTTGAAGTAGAGACTTTGCATTTGGACTGTAAATGACTGATATAATTGATTTGTGTTAAAAAGGTTTAAATATGTAGGTTTGTATGCTTCTGCTCATTATGTTGGTGTTGTTTTGACAGGGCTGGTGCAGTTTGTCGTACTTGGAATAAAATCTCCTTGCAACCATGTTTAGTGAGTATGATGACAGTAATGTATACACTTATCAAGTTATGGAAAATCTAACTTCTATTATTTGTTGATGTATTTTATTGTTTTTAAAGTTGTGTGCCCTAGTTGCATTGTAGCTGTGTGAGGATTCTCGTGGAGTGAGTGAGTTGGGTTTTACACCTCTTTTAGCAATATTCCAGTAATATCATGGCGAGGGACACCAGAAATGGGCTTCACACATTGTACCAATATGGGGAAACAAATTCAGGCCTTCTGAGTGACGAGCAAACACTTTAAATGCTGGGCTACCCCACTGTCCGTATACTAGTGTGGAATAGTTCTGAAGCACAATGATTGACTTGAAGAGCAACTACATAGATTGGGTCAATAGTCATTGTGACCTTATATTGTGAGTTGTTAAAATAACAGCATATTGCTTGTCTGACCCAAATTTAGTTGTTTACAAGTTCAGGAACCAGTGCAGGTAGTCGTCAATGTTTGAGTGTACTGTGTTGTTGCAGTGGAAGCGAGTTCGACTCCGGAGCACAGTCATCAGTGAGTGGGAAGCTGCAGCACAGTTCTTTAGGAAGGTCCGAGTTGAAAGTTTGGTAGGTTTCACAACTCTTCATGTTTGTCCCCTTTCTGTCCAAGAGCCCATAGCTTACAAACATCAGAACTATGAGGTTCTCCTTTCCAGAACAGAACTTTCAATACTCTAATTTCACTTTGTTGGTACTCAAGAACCTAATGACATAAATCTACAGTACCACTCTAATTCCAGGATCAACATTGCTGAGGTAACTCAAACCATGGAAGCATGTTACCATCGTGGGGGATATTAATGACTTTGTCTTCTTGTTAGTTATTTGTAAGAAGCTGTTACATGGCTGGAATGTTGACATTAAAATAACTGCCGGAGTGTGAACTCAGCAGTGTCGGACAGGTTTGAATTTAACACTATGCTGACTGATGAAATACAAAACCTAGATGACTTCATTTCTCTAGTAAACTGTGAACATGCTCACCTTCTGTAAGATGAAAGTTTGAAACTCACTTGGTCTTATTGTTTGACTTTGTTTTGTTCATTGTATAGAACTGAAGCGGAGTCTGTGTTCTGTCATTATTTACTTCCTAGAATTGAAACTAAGCCTATGTGTTGTTGGACGTGATGTTGACCTGGTTGCCTGTTCCAGTGCCTGCAAGGGATGTTCCACAAACACGACAGGAACAGGACATGGCACTTGATGATTGCCAACCTCCACCACCTGGTTGGTCTGCGGGAGATAGAGTTTGGTCATGTACCAGCCTCGGTGCTCCACCTGGTCTGTGAGAAACTTGGCAACCTCGAGGTCTTCAAGTCAGAGTACATCTCAGAAGTCAACGGAGATCAGAATAGGTACACGCCATGTCTGTAACTTCAGTCTGTAGATGATGCATGACCTCATGTTTAGTTCTTTTTGACATTGCTCATGGAACAATAAACTACAATAATACAAATTACCTCGTGTCCAAAACAGTTGCGTGGTAGGAAGTCACATATCAGCTTCATGGAGTGTAAGGCATTTTAACAAATATTGAGGACCAGTTGACCCTATAGACATACCATATCTAAACACATAAATGGACGGCCCAATTAAGTCAGTGAGGAAAGCACTTATTTGAGTTCAGATCATCTGGTCAGTGCAGGTCAACTAGTATTTCTAATTATCACCAAAGCCTGTGACTCTTCTTGTATTTTAAGGACATACTGCTATCTATTAACATAGATATTTATGCCGTCATGTCACCATTGATTCAGTATGTTGTAGTTATTTATCCTCGTAAGTAAACCGTCTTACCTTCTACCAGGAACATTCCCTGTAAGATTGACTTGGGCAAGTTTGTGTGTCTGAAGCACTTGCGTGAACTGCGACTTCGAGGTACTAGGGGCCTCACACTACCTGCCTTCTCATTCAATGGGGGACTGGCAGAACTGGCAGCTCTCAAGAACCTGGAAACTCTGGTGAGACAGTGAATTCATGCATGTTGGGTCTAATGTTATACTCAGTTTCTAGTTACTGCTGAAATAGGTAGTTGTCCCCCGCCGCAACGAGGAACGGGGACTATGTATTCAGCGGTTTCCGTACATATGTACGTTCCGATTCTTGTTAATGCGAAATCTCATGAACTGTGGTATCCAATATCTTTAAATTTGGTGACAGCCTACATTGGGGGATTATGCAGACACCAGTTGATTTGGGTGACCTTGACCTTATCTTCAAGGTCACCATGGCACTTTGACCACTTTTCAAACTTATTTAAACGCAATATCTCATAAAACATTGCACCCGATGTTTTCAATTATGCCGACAGCCTACATTGGGTGATTGTGCAGGCACTAGTCATTTCAGGCATCTTGTATGTGACCAAAAAATAAAAAGTAGTAAACATAGATATTCCATTCTTTAGGGGCGGGGACATTGCCATATCAGTGGCAAACACTTGTTATACTCTATATGTGTTACTTATGGTTAACCTGTTCCTTTGTGTGCAGTCGCTCACTACACTGAAGTCCATCCCGGATAATGAATTCCACTTCCTCCGTGACATGAAGCAGCTCAAGTTCCTGGAGGTTGGCAACTGTAACACTTGGTCATCGGAGGTGAGTTGAGATGCACAGATGAGTCACCTATGACATATGGTTATCAGAAGTCTTATGAAGTAAGGTGCATCTGTGGGGCACATGTAGCACTGGTCAGCAGAGGTCACAGGAAGTAGGGTGCACTGGTTGGACAACTAGAACACTTGTTCATCAGAGGTCACAGGAAGTAGGGATACTGGTTGGACAACTAGAACACTTGTTCATCAGAGGTCACAGGAAAGAGGGTGCACTGGTTGGACAACTAGAACACTTGTTCATCAGAGGTCCTTGGAAGGACGGTGCACTGGTTACGCAACTGAACACTTGTTCATCAGAGGTCCTTGGAAGGACGGTGCACTGGTTACGCAACTGAACACTTGTTCATCAGAGGTCCTTAGAGGGTACACTTGTTTGGCAACTGAACACTTGTTCATCAGAGGCCATAGGAAGGAGGGATACTGGTTGGGCAGCTAGAACACATGGTCAGTGGGGACTCCAGGTAGAAATGGTGGAAGGTGTTCTGAAGTAGAGTGCAGGGATGATACTGCGAGTGGCTTCTTCGAAGTTGTCTTACTGTCATGATATGTATGACTACTACTAGTCACTATGAGATTATCTCTGCTTTAGATATTTTGAAAACAGCAAACCGCAACAGGCTATTGACTTAAAGGGCAATCATATATAGTACAAAGTAGAATCATCTGTAAATATTGTTTGCCTTCCCTCTGACATTCAAATGAAATTGAACATATTTGAATAAAACGGTTCTGCGAAGGTTCTGAGTGTTGATCATGATGCATGAGTTAACACATCTTTTAATTGCAATATGCAGTGTTAACTATTCACCGAGAGTGCTGTTACTCTAGTGGAAACTTTCACTTTCTTGGTGAGCAGTGTTTAGCTTATAATTATAAGGTTATTTGGCATTGACTTGACTTAGTTAAACTCAAGTAATCCAGTAATTATGATGTTTATTTATGTAAACAAGAGAGATTCACATTTTCCATGGATTTGTGAAAAGTCATATTTTTCCTTATCCTGACTCATGCTATTTGCTTGTCTTCTTCTTCTTGCGAACACAGTGGAACACTTGTATCTCCCAATTGAAGTTCCCTTCAATGTAAAATCACTAATTAGTACTCACCACAAGTTATCTTTCCCCTCGAAAGCTCGGGAACGAGGGCGCCACCTCTCACCATGTGCCTCACTCTCTCCTTCTTCGCCCAGTGAGCAGGACGTGAGAGCGCCTGTGTCTCCCTACACACTATATCCTTTATTTATATTTAGTTTGTTACCTCTTATATTCATCTATAGAGGTGTAACTAGTATCCTTATTCAACATGCATTGATATTTATTCGTGTTTCTGCTGCTTTATTCACGGTCCGCCGTGTTTGCTCAGCGGATTGCGTTAAAGAAAATCTGCACTATTTGTAAATTACGTTTCTCTGCTGCCGATCCGCATTTAATATGCCCTAGTTGTACAACGCCATGCTCTATTGTTTCACGCTGCAATTTATGTATTAAATTGTCTAATTCTGCCTTTGATAAATATTTATATTGCGTCTTGAGACGTGCAGCAGATACATCTCGGAAACAGTCTTCAGTCATGGCTGATAGATCAGAGTCAGATATACCCTGTCAACTGTTGGCGGACGACCCGCTACCGTCTGGTGTTCCGCCTGAGTTACCTTCGGGGGAGAAGCGTGGGACGCAGTCCGCTTGATCCAAGAAGCGACCTGCATCCCAGGACATTCCATCATCACAGTCTAAGACTAGGAGAGCTTCCACGCGTCGTCACAACGTGCTGCTCCGAACCCCAGGGCTACAGCTTCGTCGAAAGGGAAACCCACGAAGGCTACTAAAAACTTTTCATCTGACATTCTTCCTGTTTCAGAATTGTGTTTATATGATGATGACATTCCGATTATCATTCCAGATGTACGGCATAAGAAGCGTCCAGTATCGGCTACCGTCACTTCAGCGCAGATCAACACGCAACCAGAGATGCCTACGCTGACGGCTGAGATTCTAACTGAGGGTCCCGTCGCTACCATAGAGAGGGCAGCCTCAACGCCAGCGCAGACCGTCCCAGATGACCTGGTCAGCCAGATTATGATGTTGATGGAAGACCGATACGGTTTACAGAGGCCTCAGAGCCGCGGGCCCCAGAGCCCAACCCATAATAAGTCATGTAGGGCCCCAGAGCCCGCTATGACTTCGCGTAGGGCCTCAGAGCCCACAAACGCCCTCCACGAAGGGCAACCCAGCCCGTATCGAAGCCTTCGTGAAGAACGTCCCAGGCCGCCTCCACGAAGGATCCAGATCCTCACCATTCGCGAAGGGCTTCACGGAGGCGGAGTGCTTCACCGAGCTCAGACCCTGAAGAACACAGAGGTCGCTCTCACGAAGCAAGCTCCTATATAATGATTCGGACTCTGACTCGATACCTTCCACGAAGGCCTTTACGACGAAGGTTAAGTGGCTCCAAGTCATCTTCATCCAGAAGATCTAGAAGGGATTCATCGAGCTTCACGAAGCCACCAGCGTTCGCCGAGGAAGTCTCCTCCAAGGTCTCCCTATACTAGCCACTGGCGTCAGTCCGCTTCACCACAATCTTCTCACGATCTTCTTACAGATCTAGGACTCCACCTCACTCTATTATATGTGATCCTACGTCAGAAGAGGAAGGAGGTATCGTATTCTCGGATGCAGAAATTAGATACTGGATGGTGAATGAATTGGAACTTACTTCCCTGTCTAAGAACGAGAACTCAGCTCATACTTATTTGATGAAGGAAGATGATGCGGACACTATCTCCTTACCTCCTATTGACCCGATAGCAGCGGTTCCAGCTAATCTGGATACAGCCTTTACCAAATCTACGGAGTTTCAGTCAACACATTTCCCGGTTTTCAACGCCAAGAAGTTTGCAGGCCACAATATGGACTCCTTTTTCAAGGCTCAAGATATTGATGAGAACTTTAAGTTAATCAACGATGCCAAGTCCAGGAATTACAGAATAGACGATCGCAAACTAGCCCAGTTGGATACCATTTCTAGGAGAATGTTTTTTGGATTGAATAGATCTAGAACTGTCAATGAAACCCTCATCACCAAGTTCAAAGATTCTACAGAGGAAGAAGATAGGATGATCTACTCGGTTCTACTCATGCAGAAAAGAGACCAACAGTTCCTTACAGATCACTTATCAGCACTTACTGCAGCTACTACCATGGCTCGTCGTCAGGGTCTACTAGCCTCCTGCAATTGGGGTAATCAATTTACGGAATCCCTCTACGCTGCCCCATGGTCATCACCTTTGCTCTTTGGTGGTAACATAGACAAGGTCTCCAAAGAGGTGTCTAAGGACTCTAGAGAGGTGCTTATGATCAAGTCCATGGATACGTTAGCTAATGTCATTAAGCAAACATCCTTGAGATACTCTGGCAAGTCTAAATTCTCTGGACTACAGAAAGCACGGGACAAGAAATTGGCTACAGCAAAAGGTCCCAAGGAATCTTTTCGTCGCCCATTCAGCAATTTCAGAGGAGGATCAGCAAGAGGCAGGTCATCCAGAGGTTTCCGCGCTTTAAAACGATGAAATACAGGTTTGGAACGACTGGAGTCTTTCATCCCCAGCTGTTCCAGTACAACCTTCTCAAGTGGGTGGACGCCTTCAGCTGCACTGGGAAAACTGGGGATTCCTACAAGATCCTTATGTATCCAACATCCTACAGCACGGATATCAAATACAACTCAAGGCCATACCTCCGTTGACAGTCATCCCTCCAAGGTTCGACTTCCAACCGGCACAACTACCAATGTTAAGAGAAACAGTAGCTACTCTTCTAAACAAACAGGCCCTAGAAGTTCTGGATCAGCGAAACATCGTACCAGGTTTCTACTCCCCAGTTTTCCTAGTGCCCAAGAAAAATTCCAAGGAAAAGTTTCGTCTCGTATACAACATGAGCATCTTCAACAGAGACTATCTAAGCAAACCGCCAGCGCTTCGCATGATACACTTACCGCAACTTCGGTACTTAATTCGTCCCAGAGATTACATGGCCAGCATAGATTTGCAAGACGCATATCTACACATTCCGATTCAGCCAAGTTCAAGGAAATATCTAAGATTTATCCTAGACGGAATACATTACCAATGGAAAGTACTTCCCTTTGGAATCTCATCGGCCCCTTGGGTATTCACAAGAGTGACGAAACCTATTGTCTCATACCTACATCGTCAAGGTCTTCGCAGCGTGTTTTACCTAGACGACGGGATACAAGTGGATCCAGATCCACAGCGTCTCAGACTACAGCTGAACTTTATAATCAAGTTACTAACTCAACTAGGATGGTTAGTAAATCTACTCAAGTCAGACCTAGAACCAACGCAAGATCTGCAATTTCTAGGTATATGATTTCTAACAGCCCAGAATCGTATAGTAGTCCCGGAGGACAGATGGATCAAGATCCAACAGTTAATCCCACAAGCCTTACTCTCTCCGCTACCACTACAACAGTGGCAGAGCCTATTGGGACTACTCACATCAGCTCAAGACTTGACAGTCAGAGGCAGACTTCAATTACGTCCGTTACAAGTCCTCATCAATGCGCATCTCGAAGACCCTCTACCGTTCAGTCTACCAGATCACGTCAAACCTCATCTACTTTGGTGGACCAAGAGATTGAATGTTTGCGTAGGCATCTCCTTAATAGAGCCGGAATCGGAAACACATCTCTACGTAGACGCGTCACTACAAGGTTGGGGAGCCCACCTTGCCAACAGGACAGCGTCAGGCCTATGGAGCAATCAAGAGAGCAAGTTACACATAAATCTGCTAGAGATGCAAGCAGTCATAAACGCCATAAGTCACTGGAGCAACCTACTACAGAACGCTCAGTTGATGATTCACACAGACAATTCGACAGTGGCGTTTTATGTGAACAAACAAGGTCACCGAACCTACTGTCTCTATGTTTCCGATTATTCGATCTAATCGACAATCTAAACATACATGTCAGAGCATGTCACATTCCAGGAGCAAAGAATGTATTAGCAGACGCTCTCTCTCTGCCACACCTACCTTCGCCGACAGAATGGATGCTCCACACAGAGATATTCACTCAAATAATCAAGGAAATAGGATCTCCACTAGTAGACCTATTCGCCACTCGATTCAACAAACAACTGACAACGTTCGTATTGCCAGTTCCAGACCCACTAGCATGGGCAACGGACGCACTAAGCATATCGTGGGAGGGACTCAACGCGTACTCTTTCCCGCCACCAGCGTTAATCCCACAAGTCTTACGGAAAATCAGTCAAACGCAGAGCCTCCATCTGATTTTGGTCGCGCCCTACTGGCCAGCGAGAACGTGGTTTCCAACTCTTATTCAAGAAATCGGACAACCATTTCTACAACTTCTAGAGTGCTCGAATCTGTTGATACATCCGCACACCAAACAAGCGCACAGAAAGCCAGAAGTATTCCAACTTCACGTATGGATTGTATCAAGGCATGTCTGAATAAGAGAGGTTATTCAGCCAGAGCGGCAAAAGCAATCACGCTTGCCCTGCGTAACTCAACTCGCAACTTATGCGATGACAAATGGCACAGTTTTGTCAATTATGCTGCAAAGAAAGGATTTACAGCCAGATATGCTACTCATCCTCAAGTGGCGGACTACTTATGTTATCTACGTCAGACTAAGAATCTAAAAGGCTCAACTTTGTCCACTTATCTTGCAGCAATAAGCTCTGTCATAACTATAAGAACGGGCGTCAAGCTAACCTAAACCCCAGAGTTACTCGCTTTGCTACGAGCATTCTGATTGGAGGATCAAAAACGGAAGTTTCACGCTCCAGCTTGGAATCTGAATATAGTGCTCCAACACCTCACAAGTGAGGCTTATGAACCATTAGAATCTACATCGTTTGAATCACTGACTCAGAAAACATTGTTCCTGTTATCTCTAGCTACGGCTGCCAGGATGTCAGAGATTCACGCATTGGATTACGAGAGAACACTCTTTGATGATATTCATAACATCGTTCATCTGGGACTACGCTGGGATTTTATAGCCAAGAACCAATTGCCAGGTCAACCAGACAGATTATTCCACGTCCCAGCTCTCTCATCTATACTTGGACCTCATGATACGATGGATCTATCACTATGCCCAGTAAGAGCACTGAAAATATATCTCCACCGATCCAAACAGAGGAGAGCAATATTCAAGAGATTATTTATCCCTCTATCTACAGCTACGCAGACGGAAGTCTCACGTACTACTATCTCCATTTGGATCAGAACTGTCATACTACGTGCCTACAAGGCTGCAGGACTCGACCCTCCAAGAGCATCTAATCCTCATGAAATTAGAGCGCTAGCATCTACACTTGCTCTACACGGCAACTGCTCTTTGAATACCATAATGGAGGGTTGTTTCTGGAGATCCGATATGGTGTTTGCCAACCACTATCTGAGAGATATCACCACCGAGGACATCTCAGGTATCCACCATTTCGGTCCCATGGTCCTCGCTCAACAGTTGACAGTTCCTCGGAGAAGATAAGTCAATCTTACAGATTTTATACTTATCTGATATCAGTACTAAATAGCTACATGCTATATATATTTTGTTTAAGTTCATTTTATTATCTTAAGCTCAGTACTATGGTTGTTATATCATACAATATATTAGTTAACAACTCTAAGGAGTTTTGCTATTACTGTAAACGAATTATATTTTGCGCCGGTTTTATTTTCGCGCTTTTCACGCAAAACATTTTAGCTCGAAAATTTATACACCGCGAATAAACCTGTCATTCATTCTGTCTAGCCACGCTCGCCCCTGAGTTGTTACCATAACACATCAAGTTTGAAGACAGAAATCTACGGGAATCTTAAAATGACGCGTACGACTGATAGAATTCGGAACATAAGACTGATGTGTTTTTCATCTCTTCCGTGAGTAAACGGATTACTGTGTACTAGTATATCGCACAGATAGGGATTTCCTGTGAGTATGCAATAAACGCCGCCTGACAGGTTAAGCCACTCTGTTTGTTTTCACTGCTATTAGTGGCGGCCAAAGAGACAGCTGGCAGTTCCGGCAATTACTGATTACGCGAATAATTGACCGCGCGATGTAGTCTAAACTGTCAATTCCGCGAAAATTGCACCACGCGAAAATAAGTACGTTTACAGTATATATATTTAGCTTAAGTTTCATCATACCTTAAGCTCAGCATTATGGTCACATTTTAAAATGTATTAGCTAACAAACTCTACGGAGTTTTTTGCTATTATATAGCTTAAGTTAAATTATGTCTTAAGCACAGAACTATACTCATATAGCTTAAGGTTATTCATATCTTAAGCTTAGTACTTTGGTTACTTCATAAAAGTATATTAGCTAATAAACTCGAAGGAGTTATGCTATCATATTAACAACTTAAGTCTATTAGTCTTAAGCTTTGTATTAATATTGTATATACTTTTATCATATAATTATATTGTAATAACCCATGTATGGCAGCTGATAAGTTAGCAGCAGGAATTCATCAATTCAGTGCCTTTATGAAGTTCCCATAAGGGTTATTACAGTCATTACAGTTCAAAATCACTAATTATCCAAATCCAAAGTATTATATATTCCCACCTCCGTATCCGTCGGATTCTACAAGCAAATAGCATGAGTCAGGATAAGGAAAAATATGTAATTTTCTGAATAAAATTGATATTTTATACTTATCCTGACTCATGAGGTAAGCCCTCCCGTCCTCCCCACATAACACTTTGGATTTTCCTGTAAATTCAAGTGTTGGGCTCGCTATAAAAGGAGAGAGTGAGGCACATGGTGAGAGGTGGCGCCCTCATTCCCGCGCTTTCGAGGGGAAAGATAACTCGTGGTGAGTACTAATTAGTGATTTTACATTGAAGGGAACTTCAATTGGGAGATACAAGTGTTCCACTGTGTTCGCAAGAAGAAGAAGACAAGCAAATAGCATGAGTCAGGATAAGTATAAAATATCAATTTTATTCAGAAAATTACATGTTTCACAGTATTACAGAATGCAGGAAGAAATAGGTCAGTGAGAGACTATTGTGATAGAGTTGATTGTTGTTACAGACTTACTTTGTGCTGGGCTCGCTGACAAACCTGACTCACCTCCGCCTGGAGTATGGTGGGGAGATCCCAGATATCGGCCTTGGTGATGCTCTGTCCTCCTTGGAGAGGTAAGTGGACTTACCGGTTGTCACATTCCATCCCCAGTTCAGTTACAAATTATTGTTATCCCCCGCCGTGCGTTTAGCGCGAAGTGGGGGATATAGTATTAGGCTCTGTCCGTCAGTATGTACGAATTGGAATATCTTAAGAGCCGTTGACTAGATTCTTTTCATATTTGGTACCTAGATCCATCACAGTATGAAAAAGGTCCCAGTCATGTTTGGTGACCTTGACCTTCATTTCATTTCACAAGGGGACTTTAACATTTTACCCTTGTCAGCAAGATATCTCAAGAACCGTTCACTGGATTCTTGTCATATGCAACACCAATCTTTATCTAGGGAAGACACAGGGCCCAGTCGATTTTGGTGATCTTCACATAATTTTCAAGGTCATAGCAACACTTAGAAGATTTCAGCATGTTCACCTGCATGTTAAGCTTGTCAGCAAGATACCTGAAGAACTGGTCACTGGATTTTCTTCATATTCGACACCATGGTTTATCTAGGGAAGGTGCAGAGCCCATTCGATTTTGGTGACCTTCACTTAATTTTCAAGGTCACAGTGACACGTTGAAAATTTCAGCATGTTCACCTGCATGTTAAGCTTGTCAGCGAGATACCTAAAGAACTGTCACTCAATTTTCTTCATATTCGACAGTGCAGGGCCCATTCGATTTTGGTGACCTTCACTTAATTTTCAAGGTCAAGGTGACAGGTTGAAGATTTCAGCATTTTCACCTGCATGTTAAGATTGTCAGCAAGATATCTCAAGAACGGTTCACTGGTTTTTCTTCACAGACTTTCAAGACTTCTCTTCAATGTTTTTGATGAGCAATTTCTTTATTCTTATTTTTGCATATTTCATACACCATGACATTCATGTCAAGGTCAAAGTGACTCCAAGGTCAAAGTGGGGATTATGTCACCTTAGTGACAATGCTTGTTCTGCTTCATTTTCCTCCAAGACAAACATGCAATAACCACTGCAGTACATATATAAGCCACACCTGTCATGCTTACTTTACAATAGATGTTCAGAACCCTTAGCCTGACACTGGCCTGCCAGTATGTGTGTTTACCATTATACAGTGTGTATTTATTTGTCAGCCTGGAGGAGCTTCAACTGATCCACTTCGGCCTGGCCGACACGCTGTACATCCCACTGGAGCAGCTTAACAAACTCAGGTCCCTGGTTGTCTGGCCCGAGGCAGCAGATGTAAGTCAAATCCTGGCCATAGTTGCCATTACCATATAGCAGCTTGTACCAAGGCCTTCCATGAGCTGTGGTGAAGGATGGTGTGGGGTAGCCTGGGGGTTAAAGGGGGAAGGGGGAGACATCTGTATTTACGAGTAAAAACGCTTTCTAGTTATATTGCTGTAATATTGCTAAACTGGAAATACTACTGGACATATTTATTTGCCTAATGGTTTCTTTCTTGATATACTTGTGATTTAAAGCAAGTCAAAATTTTATCTTTTAAAAAGTATTTCAGCTGCATGAATTGATGATATTGTAACCTTATGTAATTATCCAAGGTTTTCTGACATCCAAGTGTTGTATTGTTGCTTCAGATGGCAGCTGTCAATTCCAACACGCTCACACTGGTGTCGAAACTCCAAAAACTTCAGCTGTTGGAGTGGGGTGTGATCGTCAACTCTGACATGTGTGCCCCTGATCCCCTCTCTGACCATGACCGACAGGCCATGTGGATTCCCTTCTATCCCCCCAACTATGTGGAACTCCAGAAACAGCCCGAAGCCCCCACAGTCCCTGTCAACAGACTCAGCCTCATCCAGCTGACAGAGAGCCTGGCAGACTGTCTGCCACATACAGACATCAAGGTCAAGAAGATCAAGTCTCAGGTCAAGGTTAATGGCTGGGCTAATGACTCATAGTGAAACACTGCAACTTTCTCATCCATCAGAACAAATTCCTTAACAGACCTCTAGAATTGCACATATCTGCAGGGTGATGACTTGATTGTGAGAGAAAGCTAATTCCTGGCAGAGATGTTTGTTAGGTTGTATTCTCTGTTCTGGTTTTCTGCTACATGTAGGGTTCCAAGTAAGAGCATTCACATGTTGTATTTGGAGGATTTTAACATTTTGGGAATTTTGACAATTTTATTACAGTGAAACACTAGGTTTGTTGTTTTATTTGAAATTATTTGGGAACATTTTATAAAGTTTGTGGTTATAATGTATTTTGTTGAAGAAGTGGAAGTATGAGACAGACAGACATAGACAGAAGTGAATTCAGTACCTCGATGCCACAAGCCTATAACACATACAATGTAACTGTTGACAAAAGGGATTGCATGATTTGTACAGAAACAACCTTTACAAGAAGGTTCACTTTATATAATAGTTACAATAATATTACTTGAAATACTGGTCACTGGTATGGTGACCTGCATCTGGCAGCTGTGGCCCTTGCATGAATCCTCTCTCCTCTATCTTTAATAACAGAGGAGAGAAGATTCATGCAAGGGCCACAGCTTGAATTGCTTGAAATAGACACACAACTTAATAGGATTGTACCCGACGCATAAAGAAACAGCCTACAGAGATAAGGACTGGGCATTTTCTTACAAACTAGTAGGCAAAGACAAGACCCGATGCATGTGTACATGATTGTTTACCTAACTTTTACTACCCTTGAATTTAGTATATAGTTTATAAGTCCCGGTCAATCACAGGAACAGTGCATGATTATGTATATACAAAGAGGGCATCACAGTTCATGATTATGTATATGTCATGAAATAGAGAAGGTGACACAATCTTTTAATCAGTTGTAAAGGATTTATGTTCAATAAACATTTGTGCAGTAACTTCAAAATGTGCTCTACACATAGATAACATTATACCAATATATATAAGATGAAGAAATATATTTAGGGGGCTATCCTAATTGACTCTATGGCTGACATGAAGTTGGTATAGATGTATTTCAGAGAAATATTGATCACACAATACAAACCTGTAGTCCTAGGATGGAACTGTCTACTGTTGAGGTGAAGTCCTGCCAACATCATCTAAGGGTTGGGTCAAGCAAGGGTTTGGTTATCACTGAATTTAGTAGGACTTAAAGCTAACTTTTAAAACATATAGCCCATGTGAGCTTCTTGTAGAGTATGCTGTCCATCTACCCAGCCACCTGCCATCAACAGTAGCACTCTGTTCACTGCCACCCCTGATCTGTACAACCCTGTAAAGCAATAAGAAGACAGTAGCTTGTCACACACAAGGGAATGGACGTTATCGTATTAACTGTTTGGAACAGTCCATGGTGAAAGGTATTCGGTAAGGGTAGAATATGCATTGCCATTTTCAGTTTATCAAAATATAGGTAGTTCATGTTTTCTTGTAATGACTGGTACATTGTTAGTGAAGTGCATCAAATTTACTTTGATATCTTGAAATACAGACTTAATAAGATGGTGATTCAGTGTGAGAAAAATGAGAGAAAATAACTAAGTAAGAGCTCAAGAGGAGAGACTGGAAACCCGAAACACTCTTATTGTTTTGGCATAAATTGTGCTACAAATTTGTGTGAATGAAGTTATGATACTGTTTGGTTGTGTTGACATTATTAGCAACTACTTCCTAATGCCGAAAGAAGTATTACTTATAGTCTTTCACGGATAGTGTTTGAAGAAGGAAAGAAGCAATATAGGTAACGTAGTGTTAAATAGTAGACTATGGATGATGGGTGGACTTGCCCAGATTGGTGACACTGTGACTTGTGAGGAGATGTTTATCATGGGAATGTGTACTGATGTACATGGTGCTGTTTCCTTGTAGATAGTCACCTCTGCTATATTGCTATTGTTCTGAATATATATATCTACCTTCCAACTTGGATAAGGTTCTGATGTGGCAAATTGATTGCAATGTGTGATATAGAATGATGAGAAGGCATTGTTATGTCATACATGAAACCTACAGTTAAGGGTAACAATTAGAATGAGTGAAGACCTTGACTGTCTCTGAAAGAGAAAGGTTTTACAGGTATCCCATCATTAATCATGTTGACTCATTTGTTCATAATACTTTTCCATGCAAATTAGTAATAACCTTCATTGTATATTTCATCAGCACTTGTATATAGCCTTTTTAAAGATGGTTAGTGTACACTATTCATCTAGTGCTCTCTGACACCTGTGAACTTTGTAACAAAGATCAAACTGGATATTGCCAATTATGCAATAAATAATGTTTATGATACTTACTTGTGTGTGTGTGTGTGTTTATGTGGATTCCTCTGGAGGATTATATGGCCTACACAACTTCCCACAGGAGTCCTGTACTCACTCTTTCTGTGTTAATATGGTGGACATGAAATCCTCTGGTGTTCCTGATATGTTAGTGTGAGAGCCACCTGGAAGATGATAGCTCCAGCCTTATCCCAGCCCCTGTAGGTAAAGCATTCGCTCATCAAGCTGAAGACCCAGATTCGACACATGGGTACAATATGTGAAGCTCATTTCTGGTGTCCCCCCCCCCCCGTGATATTGCTGCAATATTGCGAAAAGCTGCGTAAAACCACTTTCTCTCACTCACTCACTCATCCACCCAGAAACTTCCTGCATGTTTATAAATACCATGCTTCTGGGGCTGTAGACGTCTTACCCCAGGTCATACACTAACCATGAAAGAAATAAGCAGAATCGGTAAGACTGACTTAAATGTGTCAGAATAAGGAATGCCACCCAACACATGTCGGTGGCGTTACTGGGTACAGCATGTGCAATCGATCACACGTGTTTTGGTTCTACGTTTTACAGACAAACACGTCTTCACAAAGGATGTTTATCGTCAACATTCATCTTTGTTCAAACACTTGGTATTGATATGTATTTTCTCTGATCCCCTAGTTATATATACTCTTAAAAAGTTGGGGAACCTGAACTTTCAATTTGGATAGGAAGTATAAACGTTAACAAACTTTACATCTTATGAACGCACCACCATTTCTCTTTATCACCACCCCTAAACACAACGTATGGAACGCACGTGCACAATGCAGTAGCGCCACACACGTGCATGGGGTGTCATTCTTGATTTTGACGGTGTTCAAGAAGCCGAAGGTCGATAAATCACTGTAGACCAATCATTTTGACAATCATCTTGCATCACACAGTTAGCGTTTGTTTCTAGCCGTTTTGTTTTGTTTGGACATGAAAATCGTACACATGCAAATTTCACGTCATACACCAATCATCCTTCAAGAGCGATTACTGTGCCAACAACTATGGTCATAAGGAAGTGCCAGTGGTGATGGACTCTCAAAACATTCATTATAATCATACCAACAATGATTGACTCCGATATATCTCCCAATTGTTTTCAATCGTAAATTAAAAATGAAGTTTCCCTATACCTTTTTCAAGAGTATATATTCATCCAATACTTACAGAATACAGGCACGTTTCTACACATATATATAACACTGGACTACCTACACTTATATATGACACTGGGCTATCTACACGTATATATAACACTGGGCTATCTACACGTATATATAACACTGGGCTATCTACACATATATATAACACTGGACTACCTACACTTATATATGACACTGGGCTATCTACATGTATATATAACACTTGGCTATCTACACGTATATATAACACTGGGCTATCTACACGTATATATGACACTGGGCTATCTACACGTATATATAACACTGGGCTATCTACACATATATATAACACTGGACTACCTACACTTATATATGACACTGGGCTATCTACACGTATATATAACACTGAGCTAGGATTTTGGGTTTCAGAAGAACATTCAAATAAGTGTGCCCTCAATAATGTTACATTATTATTGTGCTAAAAAAAATTAAAACGGAAATTGCGCTGTACTATTTAAAAGTGTCACCTTTACTTTAATTAACACGTTCTCACGATCACTATGGAAACTGCAATGCGAAGTCGCTATGATTGTGTGAAAAACAGTTGCCAAGCAATTGACGTGGATGTCAATACATGTATATAGTTTAAAAGAATTGAGCTGTAATGGAAGAATCCAAGATACACTGAAAGCAGCACGTAAGTTTAACTCTATTTATTTCTGTATTTCAGAAGTCATATACATGTATATCAACATGACATATGGAAGTTTTAGCTCTTCAAATTTGCCATTTTCTGATCATAAACCAAACCAACCCAAAATATGGGACTGCAGATCTTTGTTTTTCACAGTAATTACGTATTAATGTCTCTAATAGTGATTTACGACGGAATGTATTCTCCGTATTCAGAAATACCTTGCTATGGTGTATCAACACAAGTGCTAACTGGACTAGTGTCGTGCCGAGTGTCCCCAGAGGTAGTTCATGGCTTTAACTGTATATAGTAGCACGGTGTTTGTTTGGTAACTGAATTGGAACAATTCCTTCATGGGTTGTGTATTTGGAGTCTTTGGCTGACTGACTGAGTTTAGTTTTACGCCGCTTTTAGCAATATTCCAGCAATATCACGGCGGGGGACACCAGAAATGGGCTTAACACATTGTGCCCATGTGGGGAATCGAACCCGGGTCTTCGGCGTGACGAGCCAACGCTTTAACCACTAGGCTACCCCACCGCCCTTGGAGTCTTTGGAGAAGAGATCACCTAAATAGACTATATCATATGGTATCGATTAGAAAACCTGAAAGTCATATGGTGTATTCAGGCGAAAAAAGTATGCATTGGTTCTTTTGTAGTGTTGGCCTATTACAGAAGATACTGACGAGCTATACATACACTCATGGCGCACGCATCTCAGGTAAGCATATGATACCTTCCGATGTCTGGACCCGTGAAGGTCCGGGTTGGAACTGATCTTCAGCAACCCATGCCCGTCGTAAGAGGTGACTTACTGGATCGGCCGGTAAGGCTTGCTTACTTGGCTGATGTCACCGTATCCCACCTGCTTGCCATCGTACATCGATGTTCATAGCGTCAATCACTGGATTACCACACTTGATAATTAACAAACCGCCAACATGTAACTTGAATATTGCTTAGTGAGGTTCTTTTACATGCGTGATTGGAGTGTTGCTGTGCGGTATTGGACAACATAAACACGCGGGTTTTATGCAGTTTGTGTGAGTGGTGGCGCACCGGGTGCCATGACTATTTCTCAGCCACCCATTCTAATTTTCACCATTATTGTGCCCCTTGTGGAATCTGTAAATTGAAGTAGACTGTTCCAAGTCGTTGAGGTTATATTGCCTTGTTTTAAAGAACTGAAGACAAATCGTTTTAGAAAGCTGATATACTTGACCTTTTTATCACAGGAAATTCAAGCAGCCAATGAAAAGCACAGGCCAACGTGTCTTTGTGAGGATTAAAGATTTAAAATAGATAAAAAAATAACCATAAAATAAATCATGATAGCATTACGAGGCATAATATGATTTATCGTACTGTGAAGCCTTTCGAGTCGGGGGGCGGCTTTAATCTTTAATCGTCGCAAAGGCACGAGGGGCTGTGCTTTTTATTGGCTGCTTGAGTGTGTGGTTCACGCAATTTTCCTTCCTGTAAAGTATTTGCCAAATCTTGACGAAGAGACGTTTCCATTACAGATGTCATAAAAAAGTTTGACATTATCCGTACACAAAAGATTTTCTCTCCCCGACTGATCTCAGAGAACGAAACAAAGAAATGCACAACAGACACGTGACAGTCCACATCAATCCATAAATCTACCTTTATCTGTATCTGTTTGACATATGTTTATAATGACCTCTCATTGATCGACCAACTGATCAACGATGACTAACACTTATGACAGCCACACGTGCATGGGGGTAGCCTTGTGGTTAAAAGAGTTCGCTCGTCACGCCGAAGACCCGGGTTCGATTCTCCACATGGGTACAATGAGTGAAGCCCATTTCTTGTGTCCCCCGCCGTGATATTGCTGAAATATTGCTGAAAGTGTCGTAAAACTAAACTCTCTCACTCATACAGTTTGTTCCCCTATGAATGTTCATATTTTAAAGACCTCACAGAAAATGAAAATCAATACTTAATTGTAGGTCAGTTTATCATCGAAATATCATCTTACTTCCACCGTGTATGTCCATTTCTTAAGAACTTCAAGGATTTCGTAATCCGACTGACTGACTGACTGAGTTTAGTTTTACGCCGCTTTTAGCAATATTCCAGCAATATCACGGCGTGGGACACCAGAAATGGGCTTAACACATTGTGCCCATGTGGGGAATCGAACCCGGGTCTTCGGCGTGACGAGCCAACGCTTTAACCACTAGGCTACCCCACCGCCCCTCGTAATCCGAGGTCAGAAGGTAACTGACAATATAGATGTGGAAAACAGACTCTGTCGGTCAGTTGCCACAACAGGATCTGTCCATAACTTACAACCTTCATGCCACTGCAGCTGCCGTGCCCGTCCGCCAGGAAGAAGAGCTACGACTCCACCATCTTGAGGCGGAGGACGGAAGGTACATGTATGTTTCATAACATGCCTTTAATAAGTATAGTCGCTGTATATCATTAATGTTGCTCAATAGCACAGACTGTAGATATCACAGCATGCAGACGCATGGTCAAAATAAGCATTTTTATACAGTCCGCTCATCCAGTGTCACCCATGAAGATCCGGGTTAGAATCTGTCTTCAGCAACCCATGCTTTTCGTAAGAGGTGACTGACGGGATCAGGATGCCAGGCTCGCTGACTTCTCGCTCGCTTGACATGTCATCGTATCCCAGTTGCGTAGAACGATGCTCATGCTGATGATCATTGGATTGTCTGGTCCAGATTCGAATATTTACAGACCGCCGCAATGCTGCTGAGTGTGGCGTTATAGAACAACCAACGAACCATCCAGTGCCATTGCCTTTGTAAAGCATGTGTTTTTGTGAACTCGAAACAACTTCTCACCTGAAATCATACACCCGCCCGCTGCATACTGCTAACGGGGGCATAGACAGTAACTTGTCTCACAGAGAATGTGAGTTTGGGGCGCCTGTAAACAGCCCCCCGTTCCCCCCAAATTCTCCCAGGAGCATTTCCCCCTAACCTTTGGACTTCATGATATATGTGTAACCCCACTTCTCCAAAATCCCGGATCCGCCCCTATTTTTGAGGTTTACCGAGAATTTTGAGGTGTAACGCAAAATTGAGTGAGTTTAGTTTTACGCCGCTTGTAGCAATATTACAACAATATCACGGCGGGGGACACCAGTAATGGGCTTCACACATTGTACCCATGGGGGTACCCATGTGGGTGGCTCTTCGGCGTGAGGATCGAACGCTGTAACCACTACGCTACCCCTCTGTCCCTGTAACCGTTATCGTCTCCAAGCTATTTTGTAGCTGCATGTCTAATTTTACATATTACCGATATCTTCGTCATAGAGAAACTGCCGTTTCTAGCTAATCTTTTTTAGTTTTTCTTAAACCACTTGAAACGGAGAGTATTTTCTGACTCCTTTTTCGCAAGGTACAAAAGGACGACCCCCACTGTCCCCGTCATGCGTCACGCTCCCTCCGATCGACGTTGTACCGTCCCCGATGTCGCTCAAACGAACAGAAGCCGCTAGGTCAAAGAAGCGCTCAGTGTGTGACGATGACACAAAATGGCTGATCAGCAAATTGGCGGAGATGTCGTTCTGTGACAAGGACGAGGAGCCCTTGCAGGGGGAGGAGGAGGAGGAGGAGGAACAGCCCGAGAGTATGACACCGGAACCGGAACTGTTCAAAGACTTTCAGGTTTTCGAAAATGGCATCGCCGTTCTAACCGAGGAGCAGAAGATGAGGAGCAACTATCGACCTCGCTATTGCTGGTGCTACCGATGTCAGACGATGTTCTACATGTACAGAGCTAACGACCCTTCCCTTGAGAACTGGGGAAACTACCCGTGTCATCAGTGGTAGACCTGGACACGCGATTGTCACTGTATATATGGTGTTGAAATCCCAGTCGTGTCGTCTATATGATGTATGTTAATGTCCAAAGGCATTTGTGACTTTGCGATCAACTGATAACTTAGAAACTCTTTTTCGTATCTGAGAACAAGAAAATGTTAACGTGTAAGCGCTAAATAAACTGAAGTTTCTGTCAAAGAAAATATACTTGAAAGAAGACTGTAGAAAGGTGTCTAGGTCAAAATCCCATCGAAAAAGGGGCTTTTGGTCGAGGGGCTTTAATTGTACCAAGGGGCTTTTGTCCTGAGGATCTTTTGGCCGGTCCCCCTTAGATCGATGTATACAGCGGTGATAAGTATTTATTGTGGGAACTGCCCGGTAACTTTGGTTAGGCTATGGAGTTCAAGTATACGTGTAGATATAATGCTGCCTGGACAAGTGCTATAGGTGTTTATGTCACGTGTATGTTGTGTATGTCACGTGTATGTTAGTATTCGTATACATGTGTGTGTGTGAAAACATTCTTTCGGGGGAAGGAACAGTTACAGGTGGTGAGATGAGAAACACAAGAAGATGTGACTGTCGCGGAAAGCTTATTCAGACTGTCTTTACCCAGTTTGTTTTGCACTAGTGTTTTCATTATGTATTCTGTTCGTGGTCTTCTGGTCAGACTTTTCGCTTTAACCTCTTAAGACTCTGGGTTATAGTAGTAACAAATTACATAAAATGTACTCAGAGGTCTCAAGAACAACATACATAAAGGAATCCCCTTCAGGAAAATAGTTCTAAGTTGCATAATCCATTATGACCACCAATCATCACTATTCACATATTTCACACATATTTGTTGAAGACAAAAGAGCCATAAAATGTAGCCATACTTTGTTTCCCAAAAATATCCATGGCAACTACTGACATTTAAAACTATTTATGTTAAGGTTCGAGTCGGGAATCTTTCAACTGTAAAACAGAGTGACTCTCTCTCTTTCTTTATAGTATACTCCTTGTAAATAAAGACTAAACTTCCATAATCAGCTTTGTCATGTCTTTACTAGAGTTGAGCACAAGAAGCCTGTGGCCAGTTCATTCAATCTAATGCGTATGCGTATCAATCAACAGTTTATATAACACACCATTGATGAATTATAACAAAATAATTAACATATTTAATATTATACATATATATTTTAGTGTGGGATAAATTGGAAAACACAGGTAAGTACAGCCAAACCAAGTGTCTATAGACTGGCAACTACGTGCTGTCCGGCATCCAAGCCATAGTGTAGCTCCCCTCCCCTTGCCCACGCCCACGCCATCCTGTCTGTGGTGAAGGAGAAGCCGATGTCACCCTGGGAACTGACCACCACCACACCACCAGCGCTGCCCACTCGCTCAGTCATATACTCCAGGCCACGGTCAGCCGCTTCCTGGCAGGGGACGCCTGAAGGGAGAGGGTATATAGGGAGTTGACGTGCGGTTGTGGGTGGAGGGTTGACATCGACGTCAAGCTCGAGTATCAGTGAGGGCACCTACGATAGACACATGTCAACATGTGCACGTGGTACGTCACTACGTAGCTAGACACATACATGTGCATGTGGTACCTCACTAGTCGGCTAGACACATAGATGTCAACGTGGTACGTCACTAGGGGGCTAGACACATACATGTACACGTGGTACGTCACTAGGGGGCTAGACACATACATGTACACGTGGTACGTCACTAGGTAGCTAGACACATACATGTACACGTGGTACGTCACTAGGGGGCTAGACACATACATGTCAACGTGGTACGTCACTAGGTAGCTAGACACATACATGTCCACATGGTACGTCACTAGGTAGCTAGACACATACATGTCAACGTGGTACGTCACTAGGTAGCTAGACACATACATGTCCACATGGTACGTCACTAGGTAGCTAGACACATACATGTCCACGTGGTACGTCACTAGGTAGCTAGACACATACATGTCCACGTGGTACGTCACTAGGTAGCTAGACACATACATGTCCACATGGTACGTCACTAGGTAGCTAGACACATACATGTACACGTGGTATGTCACTAGGTAGCTAGACACATACATGTACACGTGGTACGTCACTAGGTAGCTAGACACATACATGTGCACATGGTACGTCACTAGGTAGCTAGACACATACATGTGCACGTGGTACGTCACTAGGTAGCTAGACACATACATGTCCACATGGTACGTCACTAGGTAGCTAGACACATACATGTACACGTGGTACGTCACTAGGTAGCTAGACACATACATGTCCACATGGTACGTCACTAGGTAGCTAGACACATACATGTGCACGTGGTACGTCACTAGGTAGCTAGACACATACATGTCCACATGGTACGTCACTAGGTAGTCACTAGGTAGCTAGATACATACATGTGCCACATGGTACGTCACTAGGTAGCTAGACACATACATGTCCACATGGTACATGCCACTAGGTAGCTAGACACATACATGTCACTGGTGCGTCACTAGGTAGCTAGACACATACATGTGCACGTGGTACGTCACTAGGTAGCTAGACACATACATGTCCACATGGTACGTCACTAGGTAGCTAGACACATACATGTACACGTGGTACGTCACTAGGTAGCTAGACACATACATGTACACGTGGTACGTCACACTAGGTAGCTAGACACATACATGTACACACTGGTAAGCTGCGTCACTAGGTAGCTAGACACATACATGTCCACATGGTACGTCACTAGGTAGCTAGACACATACATGTCCACGTGGTGCGTCACTAGGTAGCTAGACACATACATGTCCACGTGGTGCCACTCACTAGGTAGCTAGACACATACATGTCCACATGGTGGTACGTCACTAGGTAGCTAGACACATACATGTGCACGTGGTGCGTCACTAGGTAGCTAGACACATATACATGTACACATGGTACGTCACTAGGTAGCTAGACACATACATGTCCACATGGTACGTCACTAGGTAGCTAGACACATACATGTCCACATGGTACGTCACTAGGTAGCTAGACACATACATGTCCACATGGTACGTCACTAGGTAGCTAGACACATACATGTGTCCGTTGGTACGTCACTAGGTAGCTAGACACATACATGTCCACATGGTACGTCACTAGGTAGCTAGACACATACATGTACACATGGTACGTCACTATGTAGCTACGTCACTAGGTAGCTAGACACATACATGTCACATGTACGCGCTAGACACTACATAGACACATGTACATGTCCACACGGTACGTCACTAGGTAGCTAGACACATACATGTCCACATGGTACGCGTCACTAGGTAGCTAGACACATACATGTGCCACATGGTACGTGCGTCACTAGGTAGCTAGACACATACATGTCCACATGGTACGTCACTAGGTAGCTAGACACATACATGTCCACGTGGTACGTCACTAGGTAGCTAGACACATACATGTACCACATGGTACGTCACTAGGTAGCTAGACACATACATGTCCACGTGGTACGTCACTAGGTAGCTAGACACATACATGTCCACATGGTACGTCACTAGGTAGCTAGACACATACATGTACACGTGGTACGTCACTAGGTAGCTAGACACATACATGTCCACATGGTACGTCACTAGGTAGCTAGACACATACATGTCCACGTGGTACGTCACTAGGTAGCTAGACACATACATGTCCACATGGTACGTCACTAGGTAGCTAGACACATACATGTCCACGTGGTACGTCACTAGGTAGCTAGACACATACATGTCCACATGGTACGTCACTAGGTAGCTAGACACATACATGTCCACGTGGTACGTCACTAGGTAGCTAGACACATACATGTGCACGTGGTTCGTCACTAGGTAGCTAGACACATACATGTGCACATGGTACGTCACTGGGTAGCTAGACACATACATACATGTGTACTGGTGGCTAGACACACTACGTAGCTAGACTAGACACATACATGTCCACGTGGTGCGTCACTAGGTAGCTAGACACATACATGTCACGTGGTACGTCACTAGGGGCTAGACACATACATGTCCACGTGGTACGTCACTAGGTAGCTAGACACATACATGTCCATATGGTACGTCACTAGGTAGCTAGACACATACATGTCATGTACGTGTTCCTCACCCTGCCTGGACTCTCTGACCTAACGCCTCACTCATCATCAACGGACGTGTTCCCCACCCTGCCTGGACTCTCTGACCTGACGCCTCACTCATCATCAACAGGTGTGTTCCCCACACTGCCTGGATACTCACTCGCCTACTATAGACGTGTCCCCCACCCTGCCTGGACTCTCACTCACCTACTATAGGCGTGTCCCCCACCCTACCTGGACTCTCACTCACCTACTATAGACATGTCCCCCACACTGCCTGGACTCTCTCACCTACTATAGACGTGTCCCCCACCCTGCCTGGACTCTCACTCACCTACTATAGGCGTGTCCCCCACCCTACCTGGACTCTCACTCACCTACTATAGGCGTGTCCCCCACCCTACCTGGACTCTCACTCACCTACTATAGGCGTGTCCCCCACCCTACCTGGACTCTCACTCACCTACTATAGACGTGTCCCCCACATGTCTGGACTCTCACTCATCTACTATAGACATGTCCCCCACCCTGCCTGGACTCTCACTCACCTACTATAGGCGTGTCCCCCACCCTACCTGGACTCTCACTCACCTACTATAGACGTGTCCCCTAAATGTCTGGACTCTCACTCATCTACTATAGACATGTCCCCCACCCTGCCTGGACTCTCACTCACCTACTATAGAAGTGTCCCCCACATGTCTGGACTCTCACTCACCTACTATAGACGTGTCCCCCACATGTCTGGACTCTCACTCATCTACTATAGACATGTCCCCCACACTGCCTGGACTCTCTCACTTACTATAGAAGTGTCCCCCACATGTCTGGACTCTCACTCGACTACTATAGACATGTCCCACACACTGCCTGGACTCTCTCACCTACTATAGAAGTGTCCCCCACATGTCTGGACTCTCACTCACCTACTATAGACGTGTCCCCCACATGTCTGGACTCTCACTCACCTACTATAGGCGTGTCCCCCACATGTCTGGACTCTCACTCAGCTACTATAGACGTGTCCCCCACATGTCCGGACTCTCACTCACCTACTATAGACGTGTCCCCCACCCTGCCTGGACTCTCACTCACCTACTATAGACGTGTCCCCCACATGTCTGGACTCTCACTCACCTACTATAGACGTGTCCCCCACCCTGCCTGGACTCTCACTCACCTACTATAGACGTGTCCCCCATGTCTGGACTCACTCACTGTCTGGACTCCCCACATGTCCGGACTCTCACTCACCTACTATAGACGTGTCCTCCACATGTCTGGACTCTCACTCACCTACTATAGACGTGTCCCCCACATGTCTGGACTCTCACTCACCTACTATAGACGTGTCCCCCAACCTGCCTGGACTCTCACTCACCTACTATAGACGTGTCCCCCACATGTCTGGACTCTCACTCATCTACTATAGACATGTCCCCCACCCTGCCTGGACTCTCTCACCTACTATAGACATGTCTCCCACATGTCTGGACTCTCACTCACCTACTATAGATATGTCCCCCACCCTGCCTGGACTCTCACTCACCTACTATAGAAGTGTCCCCCACATGTCTGGACTCTCACTCACCTACTATAGACATGTCCCCCACATGTCTGGACTCTCACTCACCTACTATAGACGTGTCCCCCACCCTACCTGGACTCTCACTCACCTACTATAGGCGTGTCCCCCACCCTACCTGGACTCTCACTCACCTACTATAGGCGTGTCCCCCACCCTACCTGGACTCTCACTCACCTACTATAGACGTGTCCCCCACATGTCTGGACTCTCACTCATCTACTATAGAAGTGTCCCCCACACTGCCTGGACTCTCACTCACCTACTATAGAAGTGTCCCCCACATGTCTGGACTCTCACTCACCTACTATAGGCGTGTCCCCTACCCTGCCTGGACTCTCACTCACCTACTATAGGCGTGTCCCCCACATGTCTGGACTCTCACTCACCTACTATAGACGTGTCCCCCACATGTCTGGACTCTCACTCACCTACTATAGACGTGTCCCCCACATGTCTGGACTCTCACTCACCTACTATAGACGTGTCCCCCACATGTCTGGACTCTCACTCACCTACTATAGACGTGTCCCCCACATGTCTGGACTCTCACTCACCTACTATAGACGTGTCCCCACCCTGCCTGGACTCTCACTCACCTACTATAGACGTGTCCCCCACATGTCTGGACTCTCACTCACCTACTATAGACGTGTCCCCCACATGTCTGGACTCTCACTCACCTACTATAGACGTGTCCCCCACATGTCTGGACTCTCACTCACCTACTATAGACGTGTCCCCCACATGTCTGGACTCTCACTCACCTACTATAGACATGTCCCCCACCCTGCCTGGACTCTCACTCACCTACTATAGACGTGTCCCCCACATGTCTGGACTCTCACTCATCTACTATAGACATGTCCCCCACCCTGCCTGGACTCTCTCACCTACTATAGACATGTCCCCCACATGTCTGGACTCTCACTCACCTACTATAGACGTGTCCCCCACCCTGCCTGGACTCTCACTCACCTACTATAGACGTGTCCCCAACTCTACCGGGTCTCTTGGCCGTGATGCCCCCAGTAGAGGTGCAGAACGCTACACAGCCAGTCTTGTCCACTGCCACTGCCCCCACTGTGTCGTGGCCCTGGGGGACGTTTCTGTCACACAAAACACTAGGATGCAATTTAACAGCAATAACGCACACCATTTGTGACACACTCTAAAGTAAATACAAGTATAAGTTCACTTTGACGATTTGAATACGGGAACGTTACCTTACAAGCACTGTCTGACGGAATGAGATATGTGACAATTCCTCACCTATTGTTAAAGAGGACATTGATGGTTGTTTTGTACTTCTTGAAGTGTTCCAGCTCAGCTCTGGCAGTGTCTGTGATCAACGAGTCAGCTTGCACCGTCGGAATGCCGCACTCGTCAGCGAACTTGTTGGCTCCTGGGCCAACCAGCAGAACATGCTCTGTCTGCAGGTGAACACAGAACTGTCAACATGGTCACATGGCACGTGCTCTGCCTTCAGGTGAACACAGAACTGTCAACATTGCCACATGGCACGACAGAAGAACTGTCTTCCGGTAAACACAAAACTGTCAACATTGTCACATGGCACGACAATGCGTGCTCTGTCTCAGGTGAACACAAAACTGTCAACAGAACTGTCAACATGGCCACATGCCACAACAACACGTGCTCTGTGTTAGGTGACCCAGGGAGACTATAGAAATGTTGTAGAGTATCCCTGGGTGACCACAGAACTGTCAACATGGTCACACGGCACAACACAAGATCTGCCTTCAGGTGAACACAGTCTTGGCAGCGTGGTCATATGGGTCGTCATACAGTAATAAATTATGGCGCTATGTTGATGGTTGGCATTAAGGTTTTCTTGAGCTCATTACACTAACACACGTGGAGCCAAATAGTGCAGGCATAAACCCAGCTGGAAGTTAGATGGTTTCATGGCGAAATATTACATTTATCACCATGAAACAAAAGCAGCGACAGCCTGTGTCAGTAAAAACTCCAGTACCCTCGATTATCCAGTGTAGCATATCACAATATATTCATCATGATAGAGATGCACTGGAAAATCGAGTGGTTTAACAACTCAACTAACCGACCTTCTCGAGCACCTCTCTGGCCAGGATGCACGGGTTTTTTGATGTTCTGGACACAGGCGACACCCCCTGCCCTCAGGTTACGCCCTTCCATCACGACAGCATCCATCTCAACCTCGCCGTCCAGCGTCAGCACCGACCCCGTGCCTGTTGGTTCAAGACAGTTAACGAGCAAAGACAACAACAGTAAATAGCGATGCGGGCAATACAAATCTGGACATGAATTGAGACACAGTATAACGTCTCCTCATTTGCACACTTTGGAACTTAAATATGACGTTTTCTTAAGAGGCTGTCTAAATATACTCCTCACAAAAAGTTAAGCAACAAGTATTTTTTTCCACATATTTTCTTCATGGGTATATGAAGTTATTACTTGGCATATAAGCCATGCAGGAGAACCCTTTACGATTGATGAACTTAAAGCATTTCCCATATTGTTTTTCTGATAACATTGTTAGCACCGCCTGAACGCAACCACCCTCAAAACTCACATGCAAAATGCATGGAAAACATGTGCTATACACGTCGCACATGCGTTCTGATTGCGTTAAAACTGCCAGCAACGACAAATTGTTGACAGTAACATTTGAGAAATGGCTAGGCGTCACTTGACACCAATTGAAGTTGCTCAAATTGTTGGAATGGTGCAGGGGTCAGACCCAGAGTGCTGTTGCCAACCATTTCAATGTTCATCGAAGCGTCATCTCCAGAGCGATCACTCGTCACCAACAGACCGGATTGATGACTGAGAGACCACGCTCAGGTCGTCCAAGGGTGACAACTCCCAGAGAGGACCGATACTTGGCCACCCTAGCCCGGCGGAACAGGTTCACCACAGCCAGATCTCTCCAGAATGACCTCCAGAGAGTTGCTGGGAACAGAATCTCCACACAGACAGTGAGGAACAGACTCCATGCTGAAGGTCTCAGGTCCCGAAGACCAGTGCAACGTATCCCACTGCCTGCACACCATCGTCAACAGAGACTGAATTGGGCTAACCAACGACGTAACTGGAGAGTCAATCGCTGGCGTAATGTTCTCTTCACAGATGAGTCAAGATTCTGTCTGGACTTCAATGATGGTAGGGCTCGTGTGTGGAGAAACCGTAACGAACGATACGCCAACTGTACGATTGCTGAACATGATCAGTATGGAGGTGGGAGTTTGATGATCTGGGCAGGAATCCAAGTTGGACGACGAACTGATCTTGTGGTCATCAGACGAGGTACCATGACAGGTGTGAGGTACCGAGACGAAATTGTCACACCTGTGATCATTCCGTGGGCTCAGCAAGCAGGTCCTAACTTCATCTTCATGGATGACAATGCCCGTCCACATCGAGCAAGAGTTGTCACTGATGTTCTTCAGACCACCAACATCACCCATATGGACTGGCCTGCAAGGTCTCCTGACCTGAATCCTATTGAACATGCTTGGGACATCCTCGGAAGGCGTGTGTACGGCCTCCACGTTCGTCCTCAGACTCTGGATCAGCTTGAACAGGCATTGCGGAGAGAATGGCAGAACATTCCACAACAGACTCTAGACAGACTCATCTGGTCAATGCCTAGACGTCTTGAAGCGTGTATTCAGGTCAATGGTGGCCATACACGTTATTAAACTTTGGATCAGTGCTCAAAACTGACAGTAAAAGTGTTTTCAGACATTTTCATACCCTGATGCAACACATTTTGCACGGCTTTTTCAGTGACACTGTTTTTGATGATTTGCAAGTCAGTTATTGTTCAATGAATTTTGATTTCTTTGTTGGAAAAGTGTGTGGATATGCTTTATCTTTGTTATGTTTGATTCAGTTGTAATGATCATGAGTAAAGGCATATGTACTGACCAAAAATACACTTGTTGCTTAATTTTTTGTGAGGAGTATAATTTTAAAGTGAAAAAGTAAACAATTGCCGTTTGGCTAGTTTCAGATATTCGCATAATCCTCCAAAAAGCAAGACAAAACGATGTGAGAGCTATCCTCTTGAAACCAAACCTACTCGAAAAAAGATGTGTTCTTAGTTATGGCTATAAGTGTAAACTATAGAATATATAGGCTCAAACAAATGAATACTTCGTGTATTACTACAGTGAACTGTGTATGAACTCCAGCGTGTATTACTACGGTGTCCAGTGTATGAGCTCGAGCGTGTATTACTACGGTGTCCAGTGTATGAACTCCAGCGTGTATTACTACGATGTCCAGTGTATGAACTCCAGCGTGTATTACTACGGTGTCCAGTGTATGAACTCCAGTGTGTATTGCTACGGTGTCCAGTGTATGATCTCCAGCGTGTATTACTACGGTGTCCTGTGTATGAACTCCAGCGTGTATTACTACGATGTCCAGTGTATGAACTCCAGCGTGTATTACTACGGTGTCCTGTGTATGAGTTCCATATTACTACGGTGTCCAGTGTATGAACCCAGCGTGTATTACTACGGTGTCCTGTGTATGAGTTCCAGCGTGTATTACTACGGTGTCCAGTGTATGAACTCCAGCGTGTATTACTACGGTGTCCAGTGTATGATCTCCAGCGTGTATTGCTACGGTGTCCAGTGTATGAGCTCGAGCGTGTATTACTATGGTGCCATGTGTATGAAATCCAGCGTGTATTACTACGGTGTCCAGTGTATGAGCTCGAGCGTGTATTACTACGGTGTCCAGTGTATGAGCTCGAGCGTGTATTACTACGGTGTCCTGTGTATGAACTCCAGCGTGTATTACTACGGTGTCCTGTGTATGAGCTCGAGCGTGTATTACTACGGCGTCCTGTGTATGAGCTCGGGCGTGTATTACTACGGTGTCCAGTGTATGAGCTCCAGCGTGTATTACTATGGTGCCATGTATGATGAAATTACTACGGCGTCCAGTGTATGAACTCGAGCGTGTATTACTACGGTGTCCAGTGTATGAGCTCGAGCGTGTATTACTACGGTGTCCAGTGTATGAGCTCGAGCGTGTATTACTACGGTGTCCTGTGTATGAACTCCAGCGTGTATTACTACGGTGTCCTGTGTATGAGCTCGAGCGTGTATTACTACGGTGTCCAGTGTATGAGCTCCAGCGTGTATTACTACGGTGTCCTGTGTATGAACTCCAGCGTGTATTACTACGGTGTCCAGTGTATGAGCTCCAGCGTGTATTACTACGGTGTCCTGTGTATGAGAACTCCAGCGTGTATTACTACGGTGTCCAGTGTATGAGCTCGAGCGTGTATTACTACGGTGTCAGTGTATGAGCTCCAGCGTGTATTACTACGGTGTCCAGTGTATGAGCTCGAGCGTGTATTACTACGGTGTCCAGTGTATGAGCTCCAGCGTGTATTACTACGGTGTCCTGTGTATGAACTCCAGCGTGTATTACTACGGTGTCCTGTGTATGAGCTCGAGCGTGTATTACTACGGCGTCCTGTGTATGAGCTCCAGCGTGTATTACTACGGTGTCCAGTGTATGAGCTCGAGCGTGTATTACTACGGTGTCCAGTGTATGAGCTCGAGCGTGTATTACTACGGTGTCCAGTGTATGAGCTCCAGCGTGTATTACTACGGTGTCCTGTGTATGAGCTCGAGCGTGTATTACTACGGTGTCCAGTGTATGAACTCCAGCGTGTATTACTACGGTGTCCAGTGTATGAGCTCCAGCGTGTATTACTACGGTGTCCAGTGTATGAGCTCCAGCGTGTATTACTATGGTGCCCTGTGTATGAAATCCAGCGTGTATTACTACGGTGTCCTGTGTATGAACTCCAGCGTGTATTACTACGGCGTCCTGTGTATGAACTCCAGCGTGTATTACTACGGTGTCCAGTGTATGAGCTCCAGCGTGTATTACTACGGTGTCCAGTGTATGAACTCCAGCGTGTATTACTACGGCGTCCTGTGTATGAACTCCAGCGTGTATTACTACGGTGTCCAGTGTATGATCTCCAGCGTGTATTACTATGGTGCCCTGTGTATGAGCTCCAGCGTGTATTACTACGGTGTCCAGTGTATGAACTCCAGTGTGTATTGCTACGGTGTCCAGTGTATGATCTCCAGCGTGTATTACTATGGTGCCATGTGTATGAGCTCCAGCGTGTATTACTACGGTGTCCTGTGTATGAGCTCCAGCGTGTATTACTACGGTGCCCAGGTGTTTGTATCCATACAGATGACGTAATCCCAGCGTGCCTAACCACTAGGTAACCGACAAGGCAATGGGTACAAACTATACACTAATTTAGCACTGCCGACATACTGGTGTTGAATGAATTATGAAATGAAGCTTGTGTCTTCTAACCTGCGTCATAGCCACGAAGTCTTAGATGCGGCGTTAAGCAATACTTGCTCACTCACTCACTCTAACCTGCGTCAAAGGCCGGGTCATCCTCCATGACGCAGATAGCTGCCACCACGGCGTCCAGGGCGGACCCTCCCTCGGCGAGGACGTCGTGCCCAGCCCGGGCTGCACGCTGCACCCCGTCCACGCTGGGCCCGGCCAGGTTTTCTGGGATACCCCATGCCCCTCCGTGGATAGCTATTGCGGGCAACTTGGCAACGCTCATACTTGGGGGAGCGGAGGTGAGGGTAGGGGTAGCGTCTCGGAGTTGAGGCAGAAGCGTAAATCAGACTGCCACAATACGCCACATGCAGGCGTTATATCTAGAATTTAATGAAAGGTAATTTAACGCAAATGACCCAATGAATAACCCAAGTCATCCGTGGAGATTATGTAACAATATTTAAATTGACATAATTGCAAATACAACAATATGCAAAGCTACAAAACAAGTACGAAATATACAGTACGTTAGGTTAATATCACTGTGAACGGTTGTAAGTATTCTTGTGGGGGAGACTTTTACCCTCTTTGAGAGCTCACTGTCCAAATATTTCGACAATATGCTCGATATTTTTATACAACACGTGGCTCTGGTAATATCGACATACAGACCATCTCTACAGTAGGTCAGTAAGGTAATTCTAGCAGTCTTCCCGAAGTACCATATTCACCACACACCCCTCCACTCACCTGCTGTTAGAGGATACAGTCCAACAATGTCAGGGTTACGCAGGGCTTTCCACTCCAACAATGTCAGGGTTACGCAGGTCTTTTCCTGGGGAATACTGCTGCCGCGTTTGACCTAGTTGTTCAACCTCACAGCAGATAGCCTATGTATTTGGGTGTACTTTGACCCATGTCAGGTTGTCCCAATCTGTTTTCATCGATGTTCACTCTTAATGGCATAGGCCGCATATCACCTTTACAGTCCGTCTCACAGTCCCCAGACTACACTGTTTTCCATTCCGCCACGCCCTGTCTGTAATGGAAAGCTCTATGTGAAGAAGCTCTACTTTTAGTAGATTGTCTTCACTGAATTTCCCAATTCACCGGTGCTCATTTCCAATTTAAATAGTTATTTGTTTCTATCAAAATTTTATGTTTTCAGAGACTAAATGTTACTCCACATATGTCCATGTATATTTGTATCTAGTTATACATGCTCATGAGGTGTAGATCAACCTTGTCAATTCTATATACTCACTATGAAGCTGTGTATATATTCTCCTTGTTTTCAACTCTTTGTATCACTTGCTTGATAACGGTGTTAGTACCTACACCGAAACGTCGTACCAATTGCAATAAAGAACTCGACTATCCATAGAACTTGGGTTTCCTTCACCTATACAACTTGTAAAATGCCTCTCAAAGAAATGCTCATATTTGTTTGTGAATACTCTAGACCCGTAGTTGTACATAGGTGTACAACGTATGAGATGCGTACAACATGCTAGACATGTTCATGGCAGGATGGATCGACTCAGTATTCTTTTTGAAGTGGCGACGGCGTTTTCGATTACGTTTAGACCTCTTGTGAGTCAGTGAGCGAGTCGGGTTTTACGCCGCTTTTAGCAATATTCCAGCAATGTCATAGAAATGGGTATCACACATTGTACCCATGTACGAATTCGAACTCGGGTTTTCAACGTGACGTGCGAAAGCTCTGACAACTAGTCTCAAAACGTTGTATCCGGATATCGTGTAAAGGAGGGGCATCCCCACCGCCACTGTATATATAGCAAACCCGTGGAGATTTGGGTTAGAATTGATCTTCAGTAACCCATGCTTGTCGTGGATCGGGTGGGCAGGCTCGCTGTATTGGCTGACACATGTCATCGTATCCCAATTGCGTAGAACGATGCTCGTGATGTTGAACACTGGATTGTCTGGTCCAGACTCAATTATTTACAGACCGCCGCCATATAGCTGGAATATTGCTGAGTGCGGTGTTAAACAACAACCAAGCCAACCAACTGTAAATATAGTAACAACCACACCACCAAATACACGACAAAGTAATATGTTCCTGACAACTATAAAGACAATGTAACCATGTTCTATTGAATCGTAACATAAATAATGAAATGAAACTACCCATATGACATTGTGTAGTATCATTTACAGCATACGTAATATACATGTAACCAAATTAAAGTGTGTTAACGGGATATATGTTGTCCCAAGAAAAAGCGTACATTTCAGAAAGTAAACTGAGAAAAATTATGACAATTTATATACCACAGCGGTATAATAGGCTGGTAACTTATAGGTAGGTATAATATCTTTAACTGGCTTAAGAATAGAAGGTATGCATACATACAATATTCGCAGACGAATCCTTTATCCATCAGCTACAACAGGCCGATGTTGAAACACACCAATGTCTAAAATGTCTCGTCTACTTGTTAACTGAGGCGCGTTTTGGAATATGTTTAACAGTCAAAGCCAGACTGTGAAAGCCAGTCAATGCCACTCCTTGGTACTACATTAGGTGCATGGAATAATGAAGTATGAACAATGTTTTTGAATTGCAGTACAATCACACAGTTCGCCACGTTACAGTAGTCATTGCACATACCACTTGTCAGTTTGACTCCTGTTCTCTGTTTTATCATTACCCTTTCTTCCCCGCCGTGATATTGGTGGATTATTGCTGAAAGCGGCGTAAAACTAAATTCACTCTCACACTCATTAGCCTTTCTGAAGAGAAATTTCTCCTCTATACCTTATATTCTCTAGAATGTAATTCTTACGTCGTATGTTCATATGATATCATATTAATTTTGTAATCAACCGGAGGAAAGGCTCCCCGTAAACAACTGACCACCAAGGCTGCTCGTAAGAGCGCCCCGGCTACCGGAGGTGTAAAGAAACCTCACAGATACAGGCCCGGTACCGTAGCTCTTCGTGACATCCGTCGTTACCAGAAGAGCACAGTTGAACGCGTTTAAGTAAATTTAATTTTTACGCAGAGGCAGGAATGTCCAGTGAAGCGAGTCAAAGATTTCTGACGTATTTATATATTTGATATTTGCCACCTAACTAACTGTACACATCAGGCTGTTAATGTTAAATAATACCAGTTTAGGTAGCTTATGTTAAGGCTTTCATTTGCATACTTTGATCTCTAATACCGATTAAATAGTTGGCTTGCGATTCCTGTTGAGATGTGGAACACGCCGGATGATCTGATACAAAACTTGGTAATTTCATTTCCTTGGGCCTCTCGTGTGGTCGGTCTCCAAATGGAGTCTCCCTTGCACTGGGAGTGAATGGTCCAACATTCTCTGTTGCACCATATAGTTAGACACAGAAATTAGTTTTAGACTAGTGAAAATTCAGAGGACCTGCTTTATTGCTACCAAATTTTCACTATTTACACAAATCACTAGTCCGAAATTACCTCTGGACTAGTTGCGTTTATTAAAGGTGTTTATCCCTCTGTCATCTTGACATCAAGCAATGAAAACCATAATGCATTATCCATACATAAAGCTCTTCCAAAATGGGTTTATTGTTTTTCAAGGCACGTACATTTTCCAATGGAAAATTCAAATATTCATGTCGACACCACGCACTGAATTACACTAACAGAGTCTATCCTTCTATAATCTCGACATCAAGCATACATGTCCCTTTCACCCCTTGCTTTTGGGGCATCACATTAACAACTGTAAAACATCTCACTAACTCATAAAAGACAAGTTCATCTCAACCCCAAGCTATCATCTGAGTCTTTACAATGTCTGTACTACGCAACACACCACGTTTTAGTGTTCAAGTGAACACTGCCGTTCGAAAACATACACTGACGATAAAGAACTGTGTCGATATTGCGTTCTGGCAAGTTCTCTGGAAGTCCATTAAACATATTCATCCTCCAGGGAGACGCAATAAATTCCTTCCTTGTTGATTACTTCAGACATAGGTTTTGAAAGGATCTCCCAGAAAACACGACGAGCTTCTAGATCTATACAGTATTCTTGCATGAGGGGGATATTGTTGCTGATTGTTTATTCATCTGTCAAGTCACCCAGGTGAACACGTTCGTCTCACACCACACGACACATGAACCTCACTATTACATACAAGAGGGTCCATGGTTTAATCTGGATTATCTGTATCTAACACATGTATCTGTAACCCAGACTGTTGCTGCTGAAACCAGACACTACACCAACTGTTCACTTCCTTGATCGATTTTCTCTTCAGCCCGGACTCGTGAACAGGTTTCGGTTCAGTCTAATGTCGCCTGCAGTTTGTACAACAGCCTGTCCCGTCTATTGTGGAAGTATTGCATACGGACAGTCTTTAGTTTGTATCCAACAAACACACCAGCGGCAAATGCAATGAAGCACAAAATAGTTGCCTGTTGAAGGATCGCCATTTTGAACAGCTTGCATGGTAACTGCGTACATGTGAGTTATCCGCCCTTGGCTGGTGCAAAGCTGATAAATACTGCGTGCAATAGTTTGGATTTCACTGAGGGACCGTTCGTGATTTATGGCGGGGGTGGGGTGGTGTGGTGTATACATGTATACACATGTCACATGTACTGGGGTGTGGGGGTGGGTGTTCAGCAATTTTGTACGTGGATTTATTAAAAAATATGCTTAAAAATTTGGGGGTAACTTTGTGCATAAATTTTAGGGTGTGTGTGTCATTCACATTGTACATGCTTCTTCATAAAAAATCATCACCCCCCACCCTCCCAGCCATAAATTTTGAACGGTCCCTAACAGGCTCTTCTATCTCTCTATCAAACAATGAATGAAAACGATGCATTTACGAAACTATAAAGCCATTCTAGATAATGAACATTTCAAAACGGGTTTATCATATTTAAAGGCAAAAACATTTCCACACGTAAAAATAAAATATTCAAACAGTCTGAACATGGTACCATTAAGTTATCATCGTATACATCGGACCTTACAGATCCAGCACTATTTTTGTATCGTATATTGGAAATTATACCATGACTTTGGCGACAGTGTAAACATAAGGCGTGCAGTTAATGCAGCAGGGGTTAAAATACATTCAATCAAGTTCTTCTCCCGACATACATATCTACCATAATTTGTAAACAGGTTATTCATCTAAACAGTCCGGTCTCAGTGTCACAACTTGCAGGAATAGGCATATATTGTGTCAAAATATCCATATTACTTAATGTTACATATATCCTCGTTTTATGAGTTTTCGGATGCCTAATGCACCACTCACACGGGTCCGCTGTGGGTGTGACATACATGTCCCTTTCAACCTTCACTTTGAACCCAAATATAATTCAGCATATTGTCGCACAACCTTCACTTCCCTGGCCTTGTGACGCAACACGCCATGTTGCGGAAATAAATATAATTCATCCTCCAGGGATTATTTGTTGAATTTTTCAGACAGGTTTTGAGAGTATCTCCAAGAAAACATGACAGGCCTCTAGATCTATATTCTTAATTTAGGGAATGTTGTTGCTTAATTTATAAATTCATCTGTCAAGTCACATAGGTGAACACGCACCACAGGACACATGAACGTACAATAGGGTCCAAGATTTTATTTGGATTATCTGTATCTAACACCTGTATCTGCTAGACTGTTGTTGCTGAAAACAGACACCACACATAACAATATATGGTCTCTGTTGAAACTGAACTGGGTTGTACACTTCGTTTGTCGATCACTGACTTCAGTCCTTTCGTGAACAGCTCAGGACGAGGTTGCCGCTCTCAGTTCACTCTGTGTCGCCTGCAGTTTGTTAAGCAGCCTGTCCCTTTTATTCTGTAAGTATTTCACACGAACAGTCTTTAGTTTGTATCCCACAAACACACCTGTGGCAAATGCAATGAGGCACAAAACACTTGTTTGGTGAGGGATCGCCATTTTGAACAGCTTGCATGGTATCTCTGTGGGAGTTATCCGCCCTTGGCTGGTTGTTCATTGCTGTGTGCTGACTGAGGGAAGGCGGGGGGATTAAACCAGAAATAAATCATGTTGCGATGCTTCGCAAGAAAGTTCTGTGAATATTGAACTATCGAACGCTTAACCTGTAAATCAATAAAATAAAAATGACATCAAAGTAGACATGGTAAATCAGTCTATATATCCCAATAAAACTGAGTTCGAAGGATGGTTTGTAACGAAAACGTACCGTCAGGATTCCCATGCCAATCACCAGAGCGACTTCAAGAGGACTGGTTGGTTACCATGTTTGGCCTGGCTGGTTGTCTGTCGTCATACCCCATCGGTGAGAATGGGTTATGAGACTCGATTGTTTAAACACCACTAAGATGCGGCTTTCGTTTGTGGACACATAAGGACCAGTTACTCACTTCTTACCGACAGTTTCCATGACAAATGTATATACCTGGAGTGAGTGAGTGAGTTTAGTTTTACGCGGCCCTCAGCAATGTTTCAGCTATATGGCGGCGGTCTGTAAATAATAGCGTCTGGACCAGACAATCAAGTGATTAACAGCATGAACATCGATCCACACCTAAAGTAATTATCTCAACAAGTCAATGTTTATGTAACAGATACATATTTAGGACATGAAACTCCGCCTCAGTGTAGATTACCCGTACACTATACGTATTGTAAAATAACGGCGACTAACAATGAGGAGTCCCGATTGTTTGGCTGACTGTGGATCAGAGTGATCCTATAACGTGGGGCGTTCACCATGCCACGCCCACCTTGCTGGAATATTGACGAATAAATAAACGCGCCAAGTTTAACGTCTTGAAATTCATCTCTATGAATCTGACAGTCTAGGAACACACAACCTAGTCCACCCTGGCGTTGTCGTCCAATAACAGTTCCTGTCACGATGACACGATGATTAGGATTGTGAGATTTAACGTGCGCTTTCCGACATGATGTGTATTTCGCACACGGGCCCGCCAGACCATGTAGTGTTTGATCGAAGGATATGGTACAATGAGAGGACATTAAGGTTACATACGTACATTTTGTGAATGAATTTTGAATTTGGAAATTTGAAAGAAGCGGAAGAATGTGTTGGTTTGACTTTTCAGATTGATATTGTTGGGTTATAGTGGGTTATAAAAGGCTTTGAAGATTTGGCTGTTATTCAGTGGACTTGTGAGTGTATGTAGTTTTAGGTGTTTGTTAGTGTCAAGTGAACTCAGGACCACACCATTTCGTGTTGTGGTAGAGTATGCAGTGTAGTAGGACATGTGCTGGTGTTTCTGTTTTGTTGCTCTGTGTGTAATGCCCGTTTGGCGTTTACTGATTTTATGTAGGTGGGAATTTGATTTTGTGTGACCAGTTTGTAATTTTATTATCCCTGTCTATATTTTTAGATATATGGCATATTTTTAGTTTTTACGTATTTTGGGGAGTATGATTTTTAATTTGCAATTTGAATTTTGAAAGTTACCTTGCCACATTTTGAAGATTTTTTGTTTTGATATTAGATAAGGGTATGTTTAAGTTAACTTCTGGGAGTATAAGTGCCGCTTTTGCTGCTTGGTCCGCATGTTCGTTGCCAGTACACTAACATGGGCAGGGATCCATGTGAACTCTTCCTTTTTGCCTATAAGGCGTGAAATGGTTTTTAATATTTCGTTTATTTGTTTATTTTTTTTCTGTTTTTGTTATTTGTTGCTTGGAACCTGATGAGTGTGTCTGTTAGAATGACTGTAAACGTACTTATTTTCGCGTGGTGCAATTTTCGCGGAATTGACAGTTTAGACTACATCGCGCGGTCAATTATTCGCGCAATCAGTAATTGCCGGAACTGCCAGCTGTCTCTTTGGCCACCACTAATAGCAGTGAAAACAAACAGAGTGGCTTAACCTGTCAGGCGGCGTTTATTGCTTACTCAAAGGAAATCCCTATCTGTGCGATATACTAGTACACAGTAATCCGTTGACTCACGGAAGAGATGAAAAACACATCAGTCTTATGTTCCAAATTCTGACGATCTGACGAATTAACTTCTACTGTATATGAAGCTCTTTGTGATTTCCAACAAGCCGGGTTGTTGTGACTATTCGCTTCATGATATTATATTGTTTGTTTGGAGTAGTCTTGTGGTTAAAGCGTTCGCTCGTTACGCCGAAGATCTGGGATCGATTCCCCACATATGTACATGTGTGAAGCTAATTCCTGGTGTCCCCCGCCGTGATATTGCTGAAGTAATGCTAAAAGCGGCGTAAAACTAAACTCACTCGCCCACTCATTGTGTTTTGTGACTAGCGGATCTTGGAGGGCTGTTACTATGCCCATTAATGCTGCCGTGAATATTGATTGCTTGTTATAAAATCGGTATGATTTAGTGATGTGAAACTCGTCCACCCGGGTCCACAGAGGCTTGTAAAGCAAAAGAAAAAAAAAATCAAAAAGAAAACCCCCACAACAATTGGGATGGAGGTTACGTTACAAGCCTTTTTATATAGCTATAGTGCTAAGACCCCGTCAGTGGCAAATCTTCCCTTTAAGCCAGGCGTATATGATCGTTCGGATATTAATTGGTATATTTTGTTACTGACGGGGTCTTAGCAATATATGAAAGGACCTGTTTGTTTGGATTGCTTTTGCGTTTCAAATCACTATATGGACCTTACACAAGCAGTCGGAATATCGGACTATCTTGGAGTATAGATGAACACACACACACACGCACGCACGCACCTCTGTGTGTGATGATGATGATGATGATTTGGTGATATAACGGGCGTATTCCGACATAATGCGACCCGCCAGGGCACACACGCGCGCGCACACACACACGCGCGCGCGCACACACACACACACACACACACACACCCCTCTCTCTCTCAAGACGAAGAGACAGTGGCTGGATATATTGATGTGATGCGGCGGTCACGAACTTCTTAAGCCCCTTCTTAACACATTGGCTACGATCAAAGTTAAGAATTCTTATGGCTACGAACGTTTCGAGAATAAGGGCCCAGGTCCGACCAAGATTCATATTGACTTGAGTTACTATGACGTCAAGCTATGATGTCATTCTATTGTTTACGTCACAGTATTGTTGACATAACGGTATTGGTTTTTATAGCTAAAACACATGGAATTATCATGAAACGGCCCTCCCATTATCAGAAATTTGCGGGCCGCTGCAAATGATATTGGACCGCTCAACCTTAACGACGGGCCACTATCAGTTCTGTTGTCAAGTGACGTCATAGTGGGTCGTGGACTTACGGTTCATTCGACATTGGCTTTGGACTGGCAGATATTCTGGGTCAAACAATTCAAAGGAACCCTAATTCCCGCTTTAAATAGCTGTAATATTGGCTTTCTTGCTGGTGCTAACCTTAACAATTGCACTATTAACGTTGTTGTTGGACCAAAACCGAACACTGACATAGTTTGACATGTTGCAGGCTATGGTCTTGTCAAAGGACAAGGTCGAATATCGTCACTTTCTGTTGTGACGTCACTTGAATTGTTCGATGACGTAATTGCATTCGGGCAGTCAACCCCGTCAGAAGTTGGTTTTGAGTAAACTTACAGTCAAATTCCTTCATTGTTTCCTTTTTCTTTTTAACACAAATTCCATGAATTTTAGCAGTAATAACGGTAATGCTATTTTTGAGGGCATTATCATTTGCAGAAGCCCTCGGTCCTTCGTCGGGCAGTTAATGGAAGACCTTCGGGCTTCTGCAAATGATAATGCCCTCAAAAATAGCATTACCCTTATAGTAATTAATGAAAGTGACAGAAGCATGGGTTGGCTGGCAATGATACAAGAACAACAATGAATTGATGTGTGTAGTTTTTTTCATACGTGTGATCTTTGTTTACAGCAACATTTTCAAACTTTCCAAATGTATAAACGTTCTGTATATGTTGATAAAGACATTTAAAAATGTGGGCGTCACGTATTAAAAGATCGTAGGTAGCTGTACCCGTGAAACATCAGATGTTACGAAACATGCATCACGTGTTGGTATAATGAGATTATCAGTCACTAGATATCAGTCGGACAATAACGCTGTATCACCTGGTATCGGGGGGCAGGGTACACCGTACACCGGCAGTGGCGGTACATTGTGTTGTGAACTGCAGGGGAAAAACACATCAGCTTCAAGATGAGAGAGTTTGTGAAAATGAACGCTGCCTTTTCTGGGTCGAGTGTGCTGGTCGTCGCCGCGGTGTCGTTGCTGGTCGGGGCATATCTCGGCTACAGAATCCGTGACAAGATGGACAAGAAACAGGGAAAGGACTGTCACTGATATCAGGTGATACTTGACATAGTACACTGAAATATGTCTCCACTCACTAAAGTAGGCGCATTCATGTCGCACTCAGTCATGTCATTTCTGATTCGAGATATCGTGATTTGGTTAAACAAAACGCTGAATTCTTTTGTAAATTAAAACTATATAATTCTTTTTCCCCCCTTTAAAATCTCTTATCAACAAAACATGTCATCTACCACAAATGAAGTAATTAAATCGTTTGCTGACATCCCCAGTAATTTGTTTAATACGTTAGATATTTGTCAGTAATTATAACATCCTCGCACCAGTAGCCAGCTGCAAATGTATACTGATGTTATGCTTGTTTGTGGAGGTGCGGTCAGTATTATCAGGGCCTTCTTTTAGCATTGTTGTCAGAGTTACCCGTACTCAGGTCCTAGGTCTGTTGACTGGTTCTTCCAGTCACGGTAGAGTAACTGATTGTTGTGTTGCAGGGTACACATGGAGTAGGCGTGGACGGTGTATAGAGCAGTGCACGTCGTCGTAAGCCAGTGAGGACATGGACCTGCTATTGAGTATTCAGTATGTTCAGTACCTTCACGTGGGGGATCGGTTCAACGTCACTGAACAATAAACACAACACCGTGATTCGAAATCTCCACTTTACGTTGAATAAATGATTTTCCCACTTTTATAAATGCGTCCTTATACTGACTGAAGGCATACTTAGTGGATGTCAGCAATTCACACAGTATTGGAATTGCAACTTGAAGTGAAGTATATTTATGTCATTAATTGTGTATTGTTATATAGCAGTATAACATACACTGCAGCGTAATCCCCAGAAGGTCAAAGATTACCTATTCATTTCGTAAAATGTTATTTTGGGATTTCAAAACTAAACTATTTTCAAGTTAAGCTGTCTATATTTTGAGTTACAATCCGCACAATGTCAGTGTCTGGCAACTCCTGAAGTCAGCTTGGAAATGTACTTACCAGACTCATTGACCTCTGAAATGCTCATTATCTATAGAAATAATTCAAAAACAAATTGAAAAAATGCTCATTATCTATAGAAATAGATCACATACAACTTGTAGTGCTTCAGTGGTTTTAATTCACTCACAAAACAATCAGTAAATGCAGAAAAAGCGATAGGATGAGGGAGGTAGTCAGCACTCACTCACTCGAACATGAATAGAAAAAAAAATCGAACTCCAAGGTTTATAAACGAATAACGCCTCAATTCTTAATGACTATTTGTGTCCATCCAAGAATAGTGTTTGTTCCTATTTCGGATAAAAATAGACACTGTGGTAAAACAATCGTCCATATATGTCAATATTGTAACTCAGAAAAATGTAACGTACATATTTTAAATCAAGTTGCTTTCCCCGTTACTTGGTTTTCGCCAAGAAAATACTACAATGATAGCAATGAGGGGGCAACAAAGGCTTTAAACCAACAGACAATTGTAACTTCTAACTTTAAAACGATAAAGCAATGAGAACTAAATACACTAGGTTTTCAGGTGGTAATGGGCATTTCACTTAGAAGTTTCAATCTTCTCTGCAACCAGGTTTGGGTCTCTATGACTCAGTTTGAACATACGCTGCCATATGGTACTGGTTCGTGAAGCGTGCACAAAACCTGTGTGCAGCAGCACCAGATGACATCTGGGCGTGACGGCCATTGCAGAAGCTGCTTCCTAGACTGCATACAGGAGATGTTGACGGTGTCATCGCTGCTGTCGGTGTGGTGAGGCTTTAGGATCAACACGGGGCTGTTCAGGCGAGGGACTCACAAAGCCCGCCATTCAGACATTCACGGCAGTAACAGCCAACCTTTCTCATTGCTACAGTTGAATTCCCCAGACCAACTTCAGCGTGAACCTTAATGGTTCCTTTAACTGTTTCGATTTTTGTTATTTAAACATATTTCATTCATTGAAGAAAAGGATTGGGCACAAGTCATCCAACTTTATGACGCCCTCTCCCAATATTTACAACAATTATATTTACATGAGAAACAGAGAACATATACATGAGAGACAGGGAACATATACATGGGAAACAGGGAACATATATATGGGAGACGGGGAACATATACATGGGAGACAGGGAACATATACATGAGAGACGGGGAACATATACATGGGAGACAGGGAACATATACATGGGAGACAGGGAACATATACATGGAGAGACAGGGAACATATACATGGGAGACAGGGAACATATACATGAGAGACAGGGAACATATACATGGGAGACAGGGAACATATACATGGGAGACAGGGAACATATACATGGGAGACAGGGAACATATACATGAGAGACAGGGAACATATACATGGGAGACAGGGAACATATACATGGGAGACAGGGAACATATACATGGGAGACAGGGAACATATACATGGGAGACAGGGAACATATACATGGGAGACAGGGAACATATACATGGGAGACAGGGAACATATACATGGGAGACAGGGAACATATACATGAGAGACAGGGAACAGGACAGGGATATACATGAGGAGACAGGAACATATACATGGGAGACAGGGAACATATACATGGGAGACAGGGAACATATACATGGGAGACAGGGAACATATACATGGGAGACAGGGAACATATACATGGGAAACATAGAAGATATACATGGGAGACAGGGAACATATACATGAGAAACATAGAAGATATACATGGGAGACAGGGAACATATACATGGGAGACAGGGAACATATACATGGGAGACAGGGAACATATACATGGGAGACAGGGAACATATACATGAGAAACAGAAGATATACATGGGAGACAGGGAACATATACATGGGAGACAGGGAACATATACATGGGAGACAGGGAACATATACATGGGAGACAGGGAACATATACATGAGAGACAGAGAACATGGAGACAGGAACATATACATGGGAGACAGGGAACATATACATGGGAACATATACATGGGAGACAGGGAACATACACATGGGAGACAGGGAACATATACATGGGAGACAGGGAACATATACATGGGAGACAGGGAACATATACATGGGAGACAGGGAACATATACATGGGAGACAGGGAACATATACATGGGAGACAGGGAACATATACATGGGAGACAGGGAACATATACATGAGAGACAGGAACATATACATGGGAGACAGGGAACATATACATGACAGACACATGGAGACAGGGAACACATACATGAGACAGAGAACATATACATGGGAGACAGGGAACATATACATGGGAGACAGGAACATACATGGGAGACAGGAACATATATGGGACAGGGAACATATACATGGGAGACAGGGAACATATACATGGGAGACAGGGAACATATACATGGGAGACAGGGAACATATACATATGGAGACAGGAACATATACATGGGAGACAGGGAACATATACATGGGAGAGAACATATACATGGGAACATATACATGGGAGACAGGGGAACATGGGAGACAGGGAACATACATGGAGACAGGGAACATATACATGGGGAGACAGGAACATATACATGGGAGACAGGGAACATACATGGGAGACAGAGGGAACATATACATGGGAGACAGGAACATATACATGGGAGACAGGGAACATATACATGGGAGACAGGAACATATACATGGGAGACAGGGAACACATACATGGGAGACAGGGAGACAGAACATACATGGAAGACAGGGAACATATACATGGAGAGACAGGAACATATACATGGGAGACAGGGAACATATACATGGGAGACAGGGAAGATATACATGGGAGACAGGGAACATATACATGAGAAACAGAGAAGATATACATGGGAGTGAACATATACATGGGAGAGAGGGAACATATACATGGGAGACAGGGAACATATACATGAGAGACAGGGAACATACACATGGGAGACAGGGAACATATACATGGGAGACAGGGAACATATACATGGGAGACAGGGAACATATACATGGGAGACAGGGAACATATACATGGGAGACAGGGAACATATACATGGAAGACAGGGAACATACACATGGGAGGGGAAACAGGGAACATATACATGGGAGACAGGGAACATATACATGGGAGACAGGGAACATATACATGAGAGATCTTGAGTTTGAGAATATAACAGATTCGGATGAACAGAGGAATCGTTTAGTTTGATTGATGTAGTGATGGACATGTTTGAAGATATTCAGATTTTCTTCAGTTGAGAGGTTTGCATTGCCATATAAAATAAGACATATATCTGGTAAATATTTAATTTGTAAAATATCACTTATGTTAGCTAACAAAGTTTCTCTATGTAATTTATAACGGGGACAATCCAAGAAATAATGATATACATTTTCCCAAAGACATCCACAAGAGCATGATGGATCGGTTATAATGTTGATTCTATACAAGCCATAATAACCAATCCTTTAACTGTGACCCAGTGGCTATCAAATCTTATTTATAACAATATATACTCTAGTGAGTGAGTCAGTCAGTCAGTTGAGTTTTACGCCGCACTCAACAATATTCCAGCTATATGACGGCGGTCTGTAAATAATCTAATCTGGACTAGACAATCCAGTGATCAACAGCATGAGCGTCGACCTGCGCAAGTGGGAACCGATGACATGTGTCAACCAAGTCAGCGAGCCTGACCACCCGATCCCGTTAGTCGCCTCTTACGGTAAGCATGGGATACTGAAGATCAAGATTCTAACCCATACCTTTACGGGTATATATACTGTAGAGATAGGTTGTATATAAGGATACGATACAAATATCCTGAAAACATTATGTTTAAATATTCTGATGTATAGATCACAAAAAAGAAGCATCACTGGATACCAGGTGCTTACCATTAGGTTACATCATTAAATACTATTCCAAAACACGTACATTATTGAATGGGAAATGCATCAAAATTGGGTCGTTTCTACCTTGTAAATACATTTCTGACAGACATTGTAAGTGTTAACACAAAACTAGGAGTTGTATTTCTAAATTGAATATAGCAATAAACACCTGTACCAACGGTAACGTACATTTCACTTAAGTTTGCAACTGAACATTTGCCTGAAATTGAACCCATTTGGTTTATCCATCAATTCCAGACATTTCTGAATGAAATAGACCCAGAATCATTACTTGCTCGCTACAAAAACAATAGTTTTCAGGAACCATGTCAACTCACCGAAGATGGAAGATGCTATGCCGATGTTACTGGATCTCCTGTAAGCTGGGGGCGGTGGGGTAGCCTAGTGGTTAAAGCGTTGGCTCGTCACGCCGAAGACCCGGGTTCGAATCCCCACATGGGTACAATGTGTGAAGCCCATTTCTGGTGTCCCCTGCCGTGATGTTGCTGGAATATTGCTAAAAGCGGCGTAAAACCAAACTCAGTCAGTCAGTCCTGTAAGCTTGCCTGGGGGTTAGTTCACTACTCTAGCGAAATGGCAGACGTCAGAAAACACGTGTGAAAACTCAAACTGAGCTATTTTTACTTTCTTCAATTAGTACATTTCGGTCATGTACATTTCACATTGGATCTATTGAATCATTATCTCACCAGCTAAAATCTACTTCGAATCGAAACTTGTGATTCAGGTAGTCCATGTAAGTTACATAAATATGATTAGCCTTACAATCATTGTTAAATTATTCTTGAGAAAAAACGTACATTTCATTGTTAAAATTACTCTCGGGTTTTGATTTTTTGTAAACTGTGTAACTGTACTGTATATATAGCAGTTTGGATGTCAAAGCTTTATTTCAGAATGACTGTTTTGGTACAATTTAAGTTGCATAGATCAAACCCATTATTTACCACACACAACACCATGCAATATAATTTTTTTTGTTATGGCAGTGAGACATCATTTGGACCTGCTTATAGGGTTTCCGTGAAAACAAGCACCTCAGAACTGTACTCGCGAGCACCTGTCGAGTCGGGGCATGTGAGCGTGACATGTCAGGGAGCAACCATTATTTTTTGTTTATGTCTCACTTAAAACATTCTTACTGTCGAAAGACAGGCTGGCTGTACAACTGTTGGGTATATGTCCAGTAACAGTGTCCACACTGAGACAAACAATGAAACCCAATAAACAGGTCCATTTGCATGTGGGAAAACTTGAAAAAATAAATCCTCTGAAGTTCAAAGATTGCCTATTCATTTCGTAAAATGTTATTTTGGGATTACAAAACTAAACTATTTTCATCCACCATTCATCTCATCCCCGTTAGAATGGGTCAACAGCAAACAGTGGTTGAGGAAAAGAGATGACAGAATGTATTGTTTGTAAGACCTGGTGACTCGGTTGGTCATTGAACATCATGTCATGAAGGCGAGGAGCTGCTCGTTGTCTCAGCTGCCGCACAGATTGTCAATCCCATAGTCTACTTTTATACAGATGTGATCACTGGATTGTCTGGTCTAGACTCGATTATTTAAAGACCGTCGCCATATAGCTGGAATATTGCTGAGTGCGGCGTAAAACTAAACTCACTCACTCGCTTATAAACAGGCCGCTGTTGTTGTGAAGATGTGATTTTGCCGAAGACAAACAATTCAGCACCATTACCACACTCAAGTATGGACCGATCATAATATTTACTAGGCTGATTTCAACAGAATCACTTTGGTTCCGTGTTTGAAATAAAGATTGCAAGACGGTAAAATAGTGTGACAACGGTTTTTTAAGAATCTGTTATCTGTCCGTTTTCCCCGACCAGTCTTTATTGCAGCCTTGAATTAAGCAAATCTAGATTTTCCTACGGTTTTTCACCCTTCTAAGTTGGGCTACTTCAATCCAAATAGTTTGATTCCAAAGTTGAAAGTAATGTAACGTGTGTGATGTAATTAACAAATTAACTAAGTTAACAAATCAATAGAAAGATAATATCAGAACACAATACAGTTACAGTACGTATTCAAAGGTAATACAATACAAGAGCAGTGAAACACCAGAAATGGCCTTCACACATTGCACCCATGTTGACAATCAAACCCGGGCGTGACGAGCGAATGTTTCAACCACTAGACTACCCCACCGACTCCATGTTTGAAAATGAATGGGATCCTACTGTGACATACATGGAAACATATATTCCAAATCATTATGTTAAAAATCCCACTGTGTAAAGATTTATAGAACTCTTTAACTGTAAACACATGCGCAAGTATCCCGGGCTGTTTGGAGGGATAACTGTGTCTTCAATGACAGAAGTCCACCAGTGGGTCCACAACACTTTTATTCGTGATTCAATGTGTATAACTACATGATGTTACAACAATGACTAGGCGGCATATCGGAGGCGATGGTCAGCCAAACTGCCTAGTCGCTGTCTCAGGGCCAAGTCTCGACTAACCCAAAGCATTCTCAATTTATCCCTAAGGGTCTGATCAGACTGTCACGTGTCGCATTTACGACAGATGTGTGGTCAGCCTGCAGTATCCCGCACCTCATCCACAATGTCATGCTTCAGTGGCCAACCGGCCTTTGTCTAACTTTGATTATAGGCAGCTAATGACTCTATGGTGGTGGCCATACTGACAATGGTCATGTTGTGTTGATTCATTTCCATTGACAGCATGGTCATTACTTAGAGAGATATTCAATTTACATAACTCAAAATTATAAACACTAGTCAGATATTAGTCCAGGTCTATAGATATCCTGATAAACACTGTTCAAACGTGCCTTTATCATAACAATATTAAGAAGTGGTGTATACAGGTTAATGAAAATATTGTTCGTGTATCATGATCATGTATGTATATTTGTACACATATGAGGCCCAAATGAGCTTGCAATGTGTTCAGTGATAATACAAGTACAATATCCCTATCACAGCGATTGGCAGGGATTTATATTAGGCTAAACATGTGAAGAAACTTACATATTACCCTTTCAGACACCGCAAGAAGCACGAGTACAGAGCTCCGAAGAAATTTTCCGATTAATGTGTGGTAATGTGCCAAAACTCGCAACCCACCTACTGTAGACATTTAAACCACTAACATAGACACTATATTCATTCGATTCGGAATGTGATATAGACAATAATATCTACACACAAGTAAAATGATGTCGGCTACCGAATTCGCGATCGTCGACAGTGTAATGGCGTTGCCAGGCCCGGCCCGAGTTGAACCTACGCAGTCGGACAATTATGAAACTATCGACAGGAAAAGACGTTTCCCTATGGACTCTGATAAATGAAACTCCAATCCAACCAAAGTGTTGACTGCAAACAAGAAATTAAAAAACTCAGGGCCACAGACAGATACAGACAGTGCTATACTAAGTGCAGTCACTGAACTATCAAAGGAATTAGGCTTTGCTGTCTCTTCATTAAGGAAATTCATGGCTGACTTGGAAAATAGCCTAGAATCAAAACTCACAACAATAGAACATGAAGTAGGGAAAGTAAAGTAAAGAAAATGTCAATGACCTTGAACAATCTTATGCAGAAGTTGTGAAAAATACTGAAAACAAAACAATTTGTAACGCATGACACTATAATAAAATAAACTATAATTAATCTACAACTATGTTCAATGACGGTGGATCTCAGGTCAAGCCTTGTTCATCCGTTGTTGAAAGTCAAAAGGCATTCCATAGAAACATCTTGGGACAGCGAGCTTATCAATTAATCAAATTTACTTTTGCTTCCTTTTCGACATCTGCAACATCTGCGACACATCCAGATACCAAACCATATTACACAAATCATTATTGCCAAAAGAGCCAACCAAACATCAGCATAAACATAACTAATGAAATTAAAGTCTACGGATGGGGGCCGCAGGTGATCGCCGCCATATTTGATCACGTGTTCCAGAGCAGACGCGCCTCGTTGCGCTGGAGTTTCCGGTCTGTCTCGTAGTATACTTGAGATCTTCTTCATATTGAAAGAAATGCTTTCATTTCCGAGGACGTTATTTATCTTCTCAACAATTTCATCAACGGTGTCGTCGTAGATGTTGATGGATGAGCCGATACCATACTTTCTCACTTTCACAGCGGTGGTGGGGGTTTCTGCGTGGATTGGCATACAGATGATAGGAACTCCATGATACACACCCTCCCAAAATCCGTTCTTCCCACAGTGAGAAATAAACACTTTGGTGTTGGGATGACCTAATGTTCCCGCGGATTTCCTCTTTATCCTGTTTGAACAATACCTGGTACTTCAGTCGACCAAAGGCAGCCATTAATTTTTCAATCAGTGACGACGGAAATCCTTTCAACATACTTCCAAAGGTAACAAGAACAACACCATTAGTTCGATCATCTAAGAATTTCTTCAGGTCTCCTGGAAGGGGATCTGAAAAACTTGCAGTGAGACCCCCAACCTGGACAAAATTTGGAAAGATAGCTTTTGGGTAGTCAATAATGTAGTCTGAGTTTTCGAGAAAAAGAATCGAATCCTTCATCAGATCTCTTGACTCGAGGCCTCGTAGCGTTTCATTGTACCGAGACAAATCAATGCTAGGAATCATGAAATATCTCATGACAGGGTTTAAGAAGAAGGCAATGGTGTTTGTAAATCTTTGGAGGAAAGTCATATCGTTGGAAAATTCCGAGTACAAACTCGGAAACGTGTTTGTCTGAAGAGGCATCCGACTGTCCTGTGGATCAATGAAAGATCCTTGGGCGGCAGCGGGTATCCCAAGGGCTAAGGGAAAAGCAAAGAGACATCCAGTGACCAAAACGCCATCAACTATGGCAATGTCATACCCGTCTCTCTGCAACTCCTGAAACGCGGTCTTGTCGTAAAATGCGGCATCACATACGTTGTGCATAATGGGACTTGCCAAATGGAGCAGGAACCACACCAGATTTGTCCTGTTATATATATATTCAAACATAGTTGCCATTACATCGTCGTTCCTCTTCTGGAATGACGGGTCAAGATTAGGAATAACAATCTTAAAGTTTGGTTTGAATAAATCTGCTTTCATTCTCGAAATGCAGTTCTTTGGGTCGTACAGTAGAACGTACAATGTCACATGGTGGCCTCTCTCAAGGAGTTCCCTACCTATAGACATCATCTCCAGACAATGACTTGTGGATAACGATGGAATCAGTAAAACCTTGGCTCCATCAATACTGTAGAACACTCCAAGAAGCGCAATCACACGGGTAATCGACATTCCCACTTCAATGTCAAATGCTGGTTCCTGCAAAATAGTTACAAATGAGCACATTTTGATTCACATACATATTAAGGTACCGTTTTACACATTCATTTACAGTTTACTGCCATCGGTCAGTCAAAGCTTTTTTTGGGGTATTTCTAGAACACATTGTATGAAAAACAAAAAGGAATTCATTGAAACTCACTATACAATTTCTATTTCAAATTTTAGAAACAAAAATGAATATGTTATAAGATTCAAGATGAACGGCCCATTACACACATGCATATGACATTAAGCACCATACAAGTGACGGAATGGATACGGAGATGCGAATGTATACAGATATGTATACACGAGGTGAGAATGATGCAACATACTCCATACGTTTTTTTCATAGCTAGGAATATATATTTAGTAAGGTTGTTTATAACAATATCATTTTGAGAAGTAAACATCATGTCTAACTTGTTTTCAGAGGGATATACATAATAAAAACGCTTTAGACAAATCATTAACGTATACAGAAATTAATAGTGACAATTTGCACCCTTGCCTAACATAAAAGTTCATGTTAAAATGCTTCGTGACACAGATGATAACTCCAACTGCACAGTTAACATATACATACTGTATTGCAGTTAACATACACCAGTAGTACATAATTTGTACCACTATAACAGCCTCTATTGACAGTAACAAATGTATTTAAGGTCGACACATGCAACCAAAGTACACAGTTTGATTATTTTTCTATTTTGTACTGACGATGTTAATACATATAAATGATCGAAGCAGACTGACTTTGTTAATCTGCTAATTCGTTCTTTCCCAGCCACTCTGTCAGCATCTTTATTTCAGTACTTAATAAGGCCACAGGCCTATAGTACATTACAATACAAAATATACAATCAGACATAGTATAAAAATATAAAATTAGAATTATAATTGTAAAAGCTGACCCAGCTAAATTTCAGACTCTCATTTTGCATTTATGTCAAATCTGTACATGGAGGCATGATAAATGAACATAGCTAAATCTTGCAGAACGTTACCATATGTTTTTTGATAAAAATAAATAAAATGTAGTTAAATTTGGGTATGTAAAGTAATAGGGTTGCAGATATCTTTCTCTAAGTTGTAAGTAAACAGGACATACAAGCAGAAAGTGATACTCATCTTCAACTGAATTTAAGTTACAAACATTGCAAATTCTTTGGTCCCGACTAATGTTTATATAACGTCCCGTTTCAATAGAAAGACCACGAGAGGAACATCTAAAACGTGAAAGAACTGTTCGGAACTTTTTAACAGTAATCTTATAAAGGTAATCTTCCTGAATTATTTGGGATTTAAATAGCTTGTACTAAAAACACTTATTTGATAAAGCCAGTGAAGCAGCCCATGTCTGTATTTAAATATCTTTTAGCCTTTGTGTTAATGACAATACAAAATGTAACTTCCTTTTTTCAGGAGAGCTAGTGATTGCTGCAACCAAGCGCAAGGTCACGACTGGTATATATATAATGTAATATTTCAAGATATGAAATACATTTAGAAAATGTAGCCAACCGAATCTTAACCATATATTTTAACAAATCAACATATTTTAACAAGAAGATAATCGACTAAGAAACATATGTGTTTCTCTATATCTACACATTGAACCATGTGAAACTTAAATTTAGTTATTTTTTCAGACCCTCTTCCATGTCTTCAAAGTCAAAAGTCGGTAACACCAACTTGGGTTGTCAGTCCAGATTTGAAGAGGTCATCATGTGACGATGCCGTATTGCCCACAGCCGATATACAGATCAATCAGATTTACCAAATGCTTGGCTGGTTGGTTGCGCCAGACTATTGCTAAAAGGGCGTGCTTATAGTTCCCTGATGTGCAGATAACATGGTAGATATGTCGTGATGGTAGTACGTCCACAACAGAGAACAACTATTACGAAATGGACGTGCTGAAACTAAATAATCTTGTTTGAAAAAAAATAACAATTCATATATCAACACAGTCACAAATCAGTGATACACATGAAGAACATGATATACATTAGCATGTTGGAAAAAAGAGGATTTTACAAGTGTCTTTAGCGTTTGAAGATGACTATGTGATTCCATGTATCAGGGCGTGTAATGAAAGATACCTCTTGAGTGAATGTGTGAGTTTAGTTATACGCTGCTTTTAACAACATCCCGACGGGGGACAACAGAAATGGGCTTCACACATTGTACCCATGTGGTGAATTGAACCCTGGTCTTCGGCGTGACGAGCAAAACCTTTAACCACTAGGTTATGCCACCACCCCGATACTTCTTGAGGTGTCTGTCAGCAGTATGTGCTATCGATGATTCGTCCCAATTACGATAATGACCAGGAGTAAGGCATTTCCTTTTATTGACAAACAAAGGCAACTAGCAGTATTGAGTTACTCAT